ATACTAATGTAACACTCGGATGAAAAGGAATCCTAAGAGTGCGTGAAACTCTAACGTAACAGTGGATGAAGAAGAACCCTAAAAGTGCGCGAGATACTAACGTAACAAGCGGAAGAAAAGGAATCCTAAAATTGCACGAGATACTAACGTAACACTCGGATGAAAAGGAATCCTAAGAGTACGTGAAACTCTAACGTAACAGTGGATGAAGAAGAACCCTAAAAGTACACGAGATACTAACGTAACACGCGGAAGAAAAGGAATCCTAAAAGTGCGCGAGATACTAACGTAACACTCGGATAAAAAGAAATCCTATGAGTGCGTGAGACACTAAAGTAACAATCGGATGAAGAAGAACTCTAAAAGTGCGCGAGATAGTTACGTAACACTCGGATGAAAAGGAATCCTAAAAGTGCGCGAGATACTAACGTAACATTCGGATGAAAAGGAATCCTAAAAGTGCGCGAGATATTAACGTAACAACCGGAAGAAAAAGAATCCTTAAAGTGCGCGAGACACTAACGTAACACTCGGATGAAGAAGAACCCTAAAAGCGCACAAGATAATAACGTAACAACCGGATGAAGAAGAACCCTAAAAGTGTGCGAGGTACTAACGTAACAATCGGATGAAAAGGAACATAAAAGTGCGTGAGACACTAACGTAACAAGCGGATGAAAAGAAATCCCAAAAGTGCACGAGATACTAACCTAACACTCGGATGAAAAGGAGTCCTGAAAGTGCGCGAGATACTGAGGTAACAATCTGATGAAGAAGAGCTCTAAAAGAGCGCGAGATACTAACCTAACACTCGGATGAAAAGGAATCCTAAAAGTGCGTGAGATACTAATGTAACACTCAGATGAAAAGGAATCCTAAGAGTGCGTGAAACTCTAACGTAACAGTGGATGAAGAAGAACCCTAAAAGTGCGCGAGATACTAACGTAACAATCGGAAGAAAAGGAATCCTAAAAGTGCACGAGATACTAACGTAACACTCGGATGAAAAGGAATCCTAAGAGTGCGTGAGACACTAAAGTAACAATCGGATGAAGAAGAACTCTAAAAGTGCGCGAGATACTAACGTAACACTCGGATAAAAAGGAATCCAAGAGTGCGTGAGACACTAAGGTAACAATCGAATGAAGAAGAACTCTAAAAGTGCGCGAGATACTAATGTAACAAACGGAAGAAAAAGAATCCTTAAAGTGCGCGAGACACAAACGTAACACTCGGATGAAGAAGAACCCTAAAAGCGCGCGAGATAATAACGTAACACTCGGATGAAGAAGAACTCTAAAAGTGCGCGAGATACTAACGTAACACTCGGATGAAAAGGAATCCTAAAAGTGCGCGAGATACTAATGTAACACTCGGATGAAAAGGAACATAAAAGTGCGCGAAATACTAACGTAACAAGCGGATGAAAAGAAATCCCAAAAGTGCGCGAGATACTAACGTAACACTCGGATGAAAAAGAATCCTAAAAGTGCGCGAGATACTAACGTAACACTCGGATGAAAAGGAACATAAAAGTGCGCGAAATACTAACGTAACAAGCAGATGAAAAGAAATCCCAAAAGTGCGCGAGATACTAACGTAACACTCGGATGAAAAGGAATCCAAGAGTGCGTGAGACACTAAAGTAACAATCGAATGAAGAAGAACTCTAAAAGTGCGCGAGATACTAACGTAACACTCGGATAAAAAGGAATCCAAGAGTGCGTGAGACACTAAGGTAACAATCGAATGAAGAAGAACTCTAAAAGTGCGCGAGATACTAATGTAACAAACGGAAGAAAAAGAATCCTTAAAGTGCGCGAGACACAAAGGTAACAATCGGATGAAGAAGAACTCTAAAAGTGCGCGAGATACTAAGGTAACAATCGGATGAAGAAGAACTCTAAAAGTGCGCGAGATACTAACGTAACACTCGGATGAAAAGGAATCCTAAAAGTGCGCGAGATACTAACGTAACAATCGGATGAAGAAGAACCCTAAAAGTGCGCGAGATACTAACGTAACACTCGGATGAAGAAGAACCCTAAAAGTGCGCGAGATACTAACGTAACACTCGGATGAAAAAGAATCCTAAAAGTGCGCGAGATACTAACGTAACACTCGGATGAAAAGGAACATAAAAGTGCGCGGAAATACTAACGTAACAAGCAGATGAAAAGAAATCCCAAAAGTGCGCGAGATACTAACGTAACACTCGGATGAAAAGGAATCCAAGAGTGCGTGAGACACTAAAGTAACAATCGAATGAAGAAGAACTCTAGAAGTGCGCGAAATACTAAGTAACATTTGGATGAAAAGGAATCCTAAAACTGGGTGAAACACTAGCGTAACAATCGGATGAAAAGGAATCCTAAAAATGCACGAGATACTAACGTAACAATGGAAGGAAAAGGAATCCTAAAAGTACGCGAGATACTAACGTAACAATGGAATAAAAAGGAATCCTTCCAGTGAGCGAAATAAGAACGTAAAAATGGGATGAAAAGGAATCCTAAAAGGTGCGCGCCGGAGATACTAACAGTGGATTGAAAAGGAATCCTAGAAGTGCGCGAGATACTAACGTAACAATGGAATAGAAAGGAATCCTAGAAGTGCGCGAGATACCAACGTAACCATGGATTGAAAAGGAATTCTAAAAGTGCGCGAGATACTAAAGCCGGTGACACAATTAGCGATTTTATACGTCGATCGCGGGCACACCTGGCGAAAATCGCCCGGTGTGTCGCTGCCATCGGCATATAAAATCGCCGATATCTGGCATGTCGGATATCGGCGATTAAATCCGCCGGCACTGCCGAGTCTTCCCGTTCCCGCGATTTTCTCCTCTTTCCACAGCGAGTCGCCAGTAAAATTAATCAATTAAGGTGGCGATATTATCACATGGCTTTTAAAACGGCGGAAGACATCGAAAATTGTTTCTGAACCGAAGAAAAAGAAGTCAATTTGATCACACTGTGGTCCGAAAGGCCATGCTTTTTTGATGTAACGTCGAGCGACTGTGGTAATCGTCTCAAGAATGAGATCCAGGTCTTCGACCATATTTTTCTAGTGTCCCACTTTTCAGAACGCTTCCTGGAGCGCTTTAGTTGCAAAATTATGGCAGCAGCTAACAATTTTTTTCGCTTCCCTGTCGCCATTTTGTTTGTTTACATCGGTTCACGCAATTTTTAAACGTCACCCGATGGAACCTGGAATCAAGGCTGAAGTAACGGTAAATCTACCAGTCTAATGCGGTGATGTGTCTTACATTCAAAATAGTAAGGAAAAATAAGACAAAAAAAAATGTTTATGATAAAGGCCGGTCTAAATCAAATTAAGGCAAGTACTGCTCTCCTCGTCCTTTGCATAAAAGATGGGAACCAATCCTCTAATAACCAGAAACTGGAGTCTATGTTAAAAAAAAAAAAAAATTTTATGATAAAGGCCGGTCTAAATCAAATTAAGGCAAGTACTGATTATCCTCCTTTTACTCCTCCTCTCCCCTCTCCTTATTTGGCGGGTTTGAAGGGGGGGGGGAGGGTAAGGCGGGAAAAATAAAGTAGGTTTAAAATATACTTTAGGTAATCTGAATATAATCCGTTCAGGAATAAAAATAAGTAAATAATTGAGAAGTACAATAACAATAAAGTACAAATTTCTCATGTTGCCACTAAGACACGTTAAGATGAACTGTCATGGCGGCTGCCACTAAGGATTTGTCTCACACTGAGCCATATACATTACGTTCATTTACATTTGACTCTGAAAATTCATTTTACAAGGACCACAACGAGAAAGATGAATACTGTATTTCTATCAAAATGTGTCTTTCCTTGGGTTATTTACCTGAAGAAAAGTCCTGACAAAGTGTAAAGCCGGCATGAATATTCGACATAGCATGTGAACCACTTGACCCTGTATAAGAAACACTCGCCGGCCTGAAAAGAACAGACAATATCCAACGGTAATAGGGTCGAAATGACGTTTTTCTTGACTCCATAGAAGCTAAAAAAGACGCTCAAATTTCTTGTAGTTCGTCAGCCCTTTCCACGTGCAAGACTGTGCGCAAATATGAATATTAATTTGGAAAACTATTTGTAATTCAAATGAGTTTTCCGACTAAAAAATGCTGGTTCAAAATAATCGACAGCAAGTTCTTCGGTCTCATACATTCAATTATAAAACAGAGTAGAATGCCTCAGCTCGCTTAAGACAGATTTTCAGCTTAAAGAAGTCCAATAGAGTACTGCAAATAGTGTTGAAATTCCAGCAACATCAACTCGAACTGGAATAAACTTGAACTCAAGACATTTTGCGTGAACAACAATTTTCCGTCACAACAGAAGCACACAATTTCAGGTGTTTCTGGTCATTAATTATCGGTTAACCAGAACTCCCCGATATATCGAACTGTTTCCTTTTCCGTGGGCATTTCGAGTTCCCAAGATGTTGCTGTTTTTCAATCTGCACTAATGTCGACGAAATACGTTACAGACGAAGGAGCTGTCTTTTTCGGCCATTTCCGACTGGATAAAGGCCATTATATGATTTAAATACATATCAGTTACATAAATGCAATATCTCCAAGCCTCTCCAGTTGTTTTTCAGAGGAACATGAGAAGGAAGTTATTCCACCCATCCCTTTCTTTAGTCGTTTCCAAGGGCCCCACGTGTTCACCAGTTGAGAGGGAGAAAGATAATTAAAGAAAATAGATTGGGGCCAAACTTGGGTCCCCTCTTCGATGACGTTTGTATTGTATATTTCAAAAACCAAACAGGAACAGGACGAGGATAAGAAGTTGCACGTTCACGTCTAAGCACGTTTGGATTAACATATCTCTGAATAGGTTAGCAAAAATGTTATAAGTTAAAAATGAACTCTGATGAGGAACTTTTTTAATTGCTTTTCTGGCTTCTTTTATTCTTTATAAATCATTTGATGGCATTAAAACTTTTTAAGTAAAGGATCAAGGCGTTAAAACTGAAACGAAAAAACCTACGCCCCAGTTTCTCAAAATCCTTTGAATAATTAATGCTCACACAGATGTAAAAAGCCTGACTACAAGTGTAAAATATCCAAAAATACCACTGACCAAACTCCATCAATCAAGATAAGTTACGTATCAGCCATTAATCATTGTAAGGTATCAGTAGGGATTTTTCAAACTTAATTAGATCAATTTAGAGCAATTTTCAGTTGAGAGTTGGAAGTAATCTGGAATTTCGGTGTTTTTTCTTTACTTCTATTAGTGATTGGTCCAGAAAAAATAGCGCAACTCTTTCAACCAATCAGATGCAAAACTAAACCAATCCCGACTCGTTTTCCCGCGCTTCAGGCGGTTTGTTTGGCTTCAGTTTTTAAAAGTTCTCATTGGGTCTTAAGATGTTTTCCTTTCTTCTAATTGGCCGTTGTGATTACTCGGGTTTTGGTGTTACGACAATCAATCGGAAAGCGCTATTATTGATCAAACTAAAAACAATTTAACGATATTGCTGCATGCGGAGTCTCCTCAGAGTTGTCTCGTAATTTCCAGTGAAATATTTCGATGCAGTAAATTTAGGTTGGTGTAACTTGATGTTATGTCGCTATCAATGGATTAACTTTGAACAGTTGAAGCAGAAAGTGAGTGCATGCCTGTTGATGACGTCATTGGAACACGCCCAATGTCACGTGACTCAGAACTAAAAAAAAGATGGTTATGGTTCTCAAGAGTATGCAATTTCCACCCAGGGAGGAGAGAGCGGTGTGTGACAAGCCCAAGTAACTACTCAAAAGAGACTAAGGGTTTACATTTTAACTCCTAGAAGTGATTCCCTTGCCACTTTATTGCAGTTGCAATACATTAACTGGCAAACATCTTATGAGAACAGAAAATCTTGTCAGCTTAAGGGTGTTACCTTGTTTAAAAATGGAATTCTCCTGTCTAGTTTACAAAGAAATTTTGGCAGTCAGTTGAGAGAATAACTAATTAGGAGTTAAGAGGGAGAGTATTATCAAAGAGAATGATGAGTGACAGCTGTCCAACAGCTTGAACTTTCCCCAGAAGTGGCAGCACGGGCAAATGAAGGTCCAGGGTTTGGATGGATTTGTTTCTGGCTAATCCCTTGTTCAACTGGTCTACTGTGCTTGTAAACAGCCAACTGGTTTGCCTCCTACCATTGTCATTTGAGTGTTGTTAATGAAGGGGCCATGATGAAAACTACAAGGTTACTGGTAATTGTGTCACCCTTATATAGTCTTCTTGTTTTATGTCCAATATGGCACTGATCCACATTATATACTCATATCTATTGACAACAGTTGTCATGATACATGGTACACTGAGATGTCACTTGTTAGATCAGCCACAAATATACTCTCTCTCTGTGAACCAGATGCTATCCAGTTTATCTTGGATCCATGGTTAATTTCATGGGCAATACCAACAGCACTTGCATTTGCCTCAAGATTGGGCTCTGCACCTGAGTCACCATTGCATGCACTACCACATAAATTCCAAGTAACAATCCTACTGTCATCTCCACCTGACACCAATAAGTTGTTTGGGTGAAATCTAGCAAAGTGGACCTGTGTTACACTGGAAGAATGCTTTTTTAGACACTCATCAGGAATAAATTTTTTCTTGCCTTCAAACCTGAAGAGTTGGATGTTGCCACTACCTGCAAAGGAAACCTTACTTCTCAAGTTTTTGTCAACAATTAATCATCACAAGGCATAGGATAAGTTGACAAGAGTACTAAAATTATTTAGAGTACTAAATAATTTGACTGTAAAAGTATAAATCTCCTCAACAAGAAGATGCGCTCATGTTTTAATTCAATTAGTTAACAACTATACACTGTGAGACAACTCACTAGTTATAATGCAATAGATAACATATAGTGTAGCCGATCAGATTGCAGCATATTTTATGGAATGCAAGTAGCAATGTACGAATACAAGTTGTCCTTAACATTTTTGGTTTTTTTTTTTGTTAGTGGATAGAGTTACTGTGAGAGTAAGTGTTTGCCACAGAAAAAAAAATATAAATTAAAAAATGACCCTACAAGGGTTGAAATCTTAACCCTTTTACACAAAGACAATTAATTACACCCCCTCCCCCCTCTCCCTGGGAATGTTCAATGCATTCCTTATGGTGTTTGACAACTAAATTTTGTTGTGCATCAATATATACATTTTTTTGAATACCTAGTCCAGCTGCAAACATCCTCCCATCTCCTGCCATATGAACAGAGTGCACAAAAGGTGGGTTCAGGAAATAGGCCCCTTGATTGCTGTCCTCATCTAGCTCTTGGACATTAATTTCCTGAAGTGCTCTCCCGGATGAGAAATCCCAACTGATAATTCTGTAATCCATAGACCCAGACAGTATTTCCCACGGTCTGTTGGGCCTGAACTGAACTGTTGAGCATATGTTATCATTTCTACCACGCAGGGTTTTGAACAACCTTCCTGATAGCACGTCAATCACTTTAATGTCACCGCTGTCATCGCACGCGGCAAGAAAACCTCCCTTGTAGTGAATAGCTACCTGGTTAATTTCATCTTGGTTAAATTCAAATTCACAAACAGTTGATGACGGATTTCTGAGATCATAACCAAACACTTTGTTCCTACATGATGCGTATAAACGTTCTGGGTTTTTCACGCAAAAGCAGACACCATTGATGTCTTTCGAATCATCCAGCTGGGTCGATGGCGAAGGACATAAAAGTTTGTTATGAGATGACCCATCTTTTGACCAGACATTAAGTTCTCCTTCGCCACCTGAAGCTACAACACCTTCTTTGTTCACGTCTAGTGAAATAACAGTTGATGTATGCCCACCAGTCCAAGTACTTTTTTGCATAATCTTGCAAGATTGGAAAATGTTCTGCTTTCAATCTGCTCTTCTAAATGCTACACATTTCGTGACATTTCGTCACTTTTATCACGCAATCCTCTTCTAAGAGAAAACTTTATCCAAATTCGGCCATCTTTACCTAATTTGGATAAAGTGAGTCCACGCAACGCTGGTCAGTGTTGAAATCGGCGCCATTTTGTAAACCATTGTAAAGATTTGAAGAGGAAGAAATATCGCAATAAAAGCCAGAAATAACGCCAATTTTTTCATCTAAATTAAAGAATATAGAAGCCTGAAGATAACCATGAATCCTTTAACGTGAGTAAATCGATTGATCATCGTAGTTTCACGAAAATAGATACATTACTTATGGTCCGTCGGTAGATATGTGTGCGCTGTTGGCAGATAATGCAACCAACTTCCAAAGAGCGGGGCTTATGTTTTGTTAAGATCTTTCATTCAATATTTATTCTTTCACTCGTGTTTGAAGTGCAAATGTACGCGTCGTTACAAGGTTACCAATCTTCGTCCAAGGTTTGTTCACACAGCTGTCAGTTCAGAGTTGAATTTATAGTGATCAGTGTATTACTCTTCACAGAAACGTCAAAAACATTCAGAAAATGAATGAAAGAATGTTAGAGATGGGTGTGGAGGACAGCCAGGCATGGCACAAGCAGTACAAAGATAGTGCTTACGTCTTCATAGGTAACGTTGATTAAAAGTTTTCATACCCACCGTCAAAATGAGCTACCTTTCCACTGATAACCAATTTCATTGTGCCTTCATTTTCTGCGCACAAAATGCTGCCCAAGATAACCTTTATTATTCCCCTTTTTAAGACACAGACTAGTGAGTAAAAATTCATTGAAACTGCTTTAAAGGAAACTTTAATTGCATTAATTAAATTCAATTTAGTTGTGGAAAAACTCAGGGAGATGTAACCTCCCAAATGTGAGGGGCTGGTCTATGCAGTATAGTAGAACTCTGTGAATTTATGCATGCTTTGCCACTTAATGAAATGCATGTAATATAATCCAGGGTTTTATTAAAAGCTGGTTACCATTGGTCTGCTGCCACTTTTGAGACCATGTATGGCCATTTGTCTAGCATGTGTGAAGGCTCTCTTGTTTGGATGTTGCCATTCAACCCCCTTTTTGGCCACAGCTGCCTATCACAACATCGGCAGCCTGTTATGAAAACCCCTGGCTAATTGATGGAAGCTTTCAGTTGCTCATATCGTGCACTCTTGCAAATACATGTCCTTACATTAACTGTAAGCTCTCTCTTTGCAGGTGGCCTACCTTTTGATCTCACTGAGGGCGATGTCCTGTGTGTGTTTTCACAGTAAGTTGTCAAATTTCTGATTGATAATTTCTTTTCATTCACATTAGTTTGTTTACTGTTAAGATGGCCACCTTTTGCTGATGTTCAAGTTTCTTTAGCAGTAGTGTTGTTTAAAAATTTAGATATCATGAAGATGATGATGACTGCCATTTAGATTGTGAAAATGTCTTTCACTTCTACAAACAACAAACATGGGTATTAAATAACTAAAATGTTAACAATGGGGTCAATCTTCTAAATCTATTAGCAGTGCTTCTTTCAGAAGCAAACCATTTTTTGTAACCAACTAAGCCTCTTGAACCTGCTCAAAAATTGTCTATTTGCATAATTCTGTCTATTTGGATCATTGTTTTCTCACATTGGTTTGGCATTTGTGGATAGATATGGGGAAATTGTGAACATAAATCTGGTGAGAGACAAGAAAACTGGAAAATCAAAAGGATTTTGCTTTTTGTGTTACGAAGACCAGCGAAGCACAATATTGGCTGTGGACAACTTCAATGGAATCAAGGTCAGATTTTCCACTCATTAATGTTTTCAAAGAGGAAACAGTCATAATTAATCGTACTATCAACTGACTGAGTATTAATAAAGCCCTCAGTATTCTGTAAAGATTCTGGTTTGGGACACTTTCATATTGCCTCCTTAATATTAGTATATGTATCCTCCTTATTGTTCTCCCTAGTACATTTCCTAAGGTTCTGATGAGAAGAATTTGTTCAACAATCAAGATATTCTTTAGTTAATGATCATTTCATCTATTTAGTTGACCTTAATGAGTAACTGGGGGGTTATGTTGTAAAGAGCAATTAGATGGTATTCATTAGTCTGTATTACATTTTGTTTGGAGTATGTCCTTCTTTTACTTTAATTCCTGTAGTACACTGTACAGTTTTTAAACTTACAATAGGATTGTGTGTGTCTTTTCTAAAGCTTGGTGGCAGAATAATCAGAGTGGATCACTGCTCAAATTATCGAAGACCATTAAGTGATGAAAAGGATGAACATGGGAAAAGAAAGGAGATTATTGAGGAAGGTTGTGCCCCTAAAACACCTTCACCATCACCACCAGCCTCAGAAGATGAGGAGATCCTTGAACTACCAAAGAAGAGAAAGAAAGAGAAAAAAGCAAAGAAAGACAAGAAACTCAAAGAAGAGAAATTGCCAAAGAGAAAGAAAATGTTGTCCAGCTTAGGGCAAGAGGATCTTGAAGAACCTACCAGTAAAAAGAGGAGAAGTGTGCTTGGGTCTGATAACAAAAGGGAAGGGAATGACAGAGATCTGTCTCGTGACCGTGATTTGCAGAATGTGAAAGCTAGCGTGGTGCACGACAGTGGACGCGATCATGATTTTAGAGACCATCATGCTAATAAACAGGGTAGAGATTCAAACAAACATGTCCGCGATGGGCACATCCGTGATCGTAAGCGTGAGCGAGAAATTAATGAAAGCGATCGCGAAGCACGCAATCGTGAACAATATATTCGTGAGCGTGACCGTGAAGCACATACTCACGAATTCCGTGACAATCACATAACTAGTAACCGTAAGGAGCAAAGAGACAGAGACTATCGTTACTCATCGCGTGACAATAGAGGTCATGAGGTAGATGAAAGAAAAAGAGACAGGTTCAACAGGCCAGGAGATCATCGAGATGAAAGTAGGAATTATGAAAGACGGGACAGAAATAACTTCAGTGATCGAAGGGAGAGAAGATGACGGGTTTCAAACCAAATTGTTCCCAGTTCCTAAAAAAACTTAGGTTTGAAAGCAATACCAAACAAAATTGTTGCTTCATGATTTTATTGTAATAAAATATCCATTTACATTTGATAAAGAATTTTTTTGATACCTGAAAATCTTGTAAGTCATGGTAACTCAAAGAAATTATAGCTTTAGATTGTCAGTAACTTGGAATTTACCACACTGTAGAAAGGTTTTCCAAATACATGACTAGAACATGTAGAAAAAATTGAACTTCAACATACTGTATTTTTTTATAAATAACATGCAAACTATGCAATTTTATTTATGTTTTATATTATGCAATAAATCGCTTTTTCAATTGGTGACCCACACAGGATGATGGGAGAACATAAGAAAAGTTTGAAAAATCACGAGCCAGAGGCGAGTGATTTACAACCTTTTTGTTGTTTTCCCAACATCACACAAAACCAATAGGATAAGCCATCTAATGCTTTTATAAAATAAACTTCAATTTTTCTCTGAATTTACCATTGCAAGACACAATAAGTGTTTGACCAATCAGGGTGCTCGTTTATTTTAGAAAATGCCTTTAACCCTGGTTTCAATAGCAAAGCAGCATTGCAGAGAGATTGGATATTGGTGTAAATCATTTTTCTTCTGCATGTGAAAGTCCGTAAAAATGATGACTGATGGCAGAAGAGCACAAAGTAGCAAGTTTGGATCTGAAACCTTAGAGTCCACATGTTATTGAGGGAGACACAAAACGACTTGAACATCACTGCAAGTCTTTAGAAGACAAATTGATTCGACTTCATGCAGTCATTGACATGAGATGATGTTCAATTAATGATACAGAAACAAAACAGTGCATGACAATGGTCTCTAGATTTGTCATAAGTATAGCAGAGCCTTTGGAAGGTTAAGGGTTTAAAGGTGAAGAGAGGGTTTGCCACTTGCCAATTGCAGATATCCCATGAGCAGGCCCCTGTGATAAGCACTACAGCACAAGCGTTTCTTTGTCTTCCAGAAAGGTTAAATACCTGGAAGGGGTTCCAAGGTGTCTGCCAAACCCCTCAGAAACCTCTTACCAGCTCCTGTTACACAAGCCCTCACAGGAAAAGAAATGCTTATGCCACAAGTTAATAATGACAGCTTCCTTGCAGGCTCTGTCAGATATGGTTAAATTCATCTTATCACGAGGACTTACTAACCCTATCAGAGCTCCTCTATCTGATTGCATGGACCTTATCATTCCATTAGCCCTAAATAACAGAGAGATGTTTGTATTCAATTAACAGCAATGTGTTTGTGTATTCTAACAGTCCTAGTCTCAGAGTTGTATGTCTTGCTGCCTTCACTTCTGTCCATGCGAAGAGGAAGAGTACTAGTAGCAAGAGAAGATACCTCCCAATATAAACTCCTTGATAAAAAGAGTCTGTATAGCAAAAGGATTGACATTGACTGAGCAGTCAACAAGCCCCATGTGATAACCTGAAATCAACAGATATATAAGTATTCATGAATGTTCAGTTTCAAGTTAGTTCACTTCTAACAGTGTAGGGATAGCATAAGCTGGGGGAGGTGGGGGATGGGAGTGTGCTGCAGATGGGGTCGTATTTTCATTTCTGGATTGACTATAATGGTGTTACATGTTTAAAAGAGTGAATAGAATGGGGTTGTGAATTTTCAGGATTTTGGGGGTAAGAAAATTCTTGTAGGTAGGGTCAGTTAGCAAATTACCAGAAAGTTTGTATTGAAGGCAAAAAGTAAAGTGATCTAAATTCAAATCAACAAATGAACCAATTTATTTTAGGTTGGTGTACATAAGGCTTTATGAACAAAAAGTGACAAAGTTGGGATTGCAAAAAATCACATTTTGCCAAGAAGTGACCCAGATGGTCTATAAGCAGCCACAGAATAGACTATGATAAGGTAGGGGTTTTGAGGGGCCTGTATCACATACCCAATCATGCACTATTTCAAGTGGCAGTAATCACATTTAACCTTTTAGAAACAAACCACCCCTTATCATGTACTGGTCAAAAGTGAGTTGTTTATAATCAAACCTATCTGCAATACACTGTACCTTGATCTGAATTTAATCATAGTTACCTTAAATCTTGAATGAACAGGTAATACCAATGACAAAATTGCTAAAGCTGGGTATGCTAAAAGCCACGTCAAACAACACTGAAAACAAAAATGCAGTTACCTTAGTTTTTATGAACTACCTCAGTCTGCAACATGAAAAATGGGGTACATGTATATGTATCATTAAAACACGATACCCACCTTTGCAAACTTATTATAAAATTCCCTACGAAGTGTACTTCGTTCTTCTGTGATTTTCTTACTAATTTTGACACCAAAGCCACCAGCTATCAAAATTTTTATAAGAACTAAAAGAGTCGTCGTATTCCAAAATGACAACATGACCTGCAAATAAAAGCAGATGATAAATTATGGTAGGCTGTCATAATTAAAATTCTAATGGCAGAAATCCCTCTTTTGTAAATTTTTCCCAAGCACAATTCAAGAGAAATTAGAGATAAAGTTGGTGCCACAAAAGCCCTTGCAAACTGAGTCCACAAAGGTTCTTTTTTTTAAAAATCTTAAAATTCCAAGACTTTCCATGATGTGTTCCACAACCTTATTGATGTATTGATGTGTTCCATTACCAGTAATTGAGATCTTGCTTCCCAAATGAGGAAAAAGCGAATATGTCAAAAAGGCATTTTATGTTTTTGTTGAATAATGGGATCAAGTTTATAATTAAAAGAAACTGTAGCACTATGTTTGTAAGGGTATAATGACATAATTTGGTTTCATCATCTGAGTAGGTGATGTGAATTGGTCACCATAAAGAGATTCTTAAGCTGACATTTCCAGCATCAGTTTCAATCAAATAGATGTGTCAAGTGTTAGTTTAGGAAATGGTTGGCAACCCACCTCAAAACCTGAAACTACAATAACACCAATATTAATCTGCTTCATTTGTTTTGGATCCAGAGTTGAAAAAGAAGAACTCAGAGTCCATCCTGTAGATAACTTGGCCATCATCAATAACATCTGATATCCTGCAAGGCCATTAGCTGCTGTAATAAAATATTGAATACAAAAGATTAAAGTTTTTGTTGGATTTACCCCAGAAGGGAAGAGGTCATGGTCCTGACGTTTGGCCTGAAAGGGTATGGTGCGACCTGCTCAACAGGAAGTACTTTTCAAAGGTTTGATTCTTGCATTGTGTATACTATATCTTTATTTACCCTCTTTTACTGGAACCAAAGTCTCTAATATGAGGTGAGCATTAGCAATGTACAGTCTAAATGGAACGAAGGAGAAGGAGTGAATTTTGCATGGTAGTTATAATTAGCCTTATAATTTGTTTAACAGACAAGAGCTTCTTGAGTTTGTGATTATTTCCCTAACTCTCGTGACCTTAATGTTTGATTCAGGGATGATACTGTTGGGAGAAATTAGATTCTTACAACTCTTAAGGGTTTAAGAATTAAGCCTGTTCTCCTTGATGAGATGCTTATAATGCATCTCTATTCACGGGAATGGCAATTGAAAAAAAATAACACTTTAGCTCCCAGACCAAATTTGTAATTCTCCTTACTGTCAACCATATGATTCTTATAATGTTAGTTCACAGAATTTAGTATTGGATCAATGAATTATCTAAAAAATTTATAGTTTTCTTTATTCTCATCACTTGTCTGGTTGATATTGTATTCATGTTGTAAGGAGAAAGTCTGTCTTGGTCACTCATGGGAGCTAGGGGGTTAAGTGTAGTAAGAGGACTATGTGTAATAAAGTAACTTTCTTTCACACTGTTTACCTGTGGAGAGATTATCAAGAAGAGGATAACCTTCACCATCCTTGGAATATCTAGGGTTAAAAAAATTGTAACAGTTAGAATAATCAAGTGATTACATGCTTATGATTAAAACTTTCACCAAAAAATCTGTGCAAATGAAAATAAAAATTGTGAATACCTGTAGATATGAATGAGAGTGAGAAAGTGTCCTATGCCTTGGTAAATCAGGGCTATTGACAGCATTTTGATCACCTAAAGATTACACAAAACAAAAATGTCTCAACAGTAATATTTTATTGAGGCCAGTCTCATGTGTGGATATTATTAAAAGCAAATATGGATTTTAAGTGGACTCTTAAAATAACATAAAAGACTGTCCACAGTAGGTTGAGGTTTTGACACTGTTGGAACCTGGACATGACTCAACTTGGCATGAAGTTGCCTAGATTCAGGCTCTTACAGCAGATTTTTGGTTAATTCTTGTGCAAGAAACACCAGTGACACACACCAGGCCAATTAGCTACCAATACTCAAAATTACATTCAAGAATGAGACACATGTATTGGTAGTTTTGAAATTCAGACTGAAAATATCAGACAATGAAACAAAGTGGGCTAATTTTTTAGTTGATCCACACATTCATCCATTAAATTTAAATTTAAAAAAATGGCTTTGGGCCCATAGAGCTACCAGGACTTTCAAGAAACTGGTTCTGGGTTCAAAATGAAACATCTTAATCTGCAGTGCTATGCACTACAGATCTGGCCTTCTTTTATCACCAGAAAGGACAATGACAGCAAACACAACCAACTAAGCAAAATCATACTATTTTAGTTTGACATAAAATTCCTTTCAGTAGCAGTAAAAGGAATGCTTGATCTTTAGTAAGAAGAACTGATACCTTGACCAAGGTTAACCCTTTTACCCCTAAAAGTCACTAGCATAAAATTTCTCCTTACAGTTTCACTCTGGAATCACACATTGAGGTCATGAGAATAAAAGAAATGATTGCAAACTAAAGAAGCTCTTGATTGTTAAACAAATTCTCCTTGTCAGCACCTTAGGACATGTATAGAGAACAGTGTGGAGAATATGCATAATGATGTTAAGGTGTAAAGGGTTAATACAAACATACCAAGTGCATGGGTCCTCCTTTCTGTATAGTCTGCCACAGACGCTGACCATAAGCTATTGCTCCAGCAAAGTAAAGGAATGCCAGCACCTCATAGAATGAAAGCAAACCTGTAAATAAAAAAATAAAATCCTGTTGCTCCTGAAAATATACTGATGAGGCTGGCAATTGGAAACAGAAGAGAAAGCAAGTATAACCTCTGATGGATGAACATTACATCTTGGGGAAAGTGGCAACACTCTTGGTAATTTCTTCCTGTTTTGTTGTACAGAAACTGGGAGAAACTACTGGCCACTTAAGAATGGCAAAGGACGTAATCTGGTTACCATCTGATTCAAAATATGAACTGCTTGGATTCTGGAGCCTCCCTAATTAATGTTTCAGAACAAGAATTCTTCATCAGAACTTCAACAAACCCAGATACTGTGAAGTTTAACTCATTTTACAATACAAATGCTGACCTGTCTCATCACAGCCACAGTGATTTGTTGGTTTTCCACCAGAATCAGGATTAAGCATTTCTAAAGTGAATGCAATGTCATCAAGAGCTGGCACACTAGGGTCACAGGTCACAGAATCCGCATACAGAACATACCATACCTTGGGGTCATCCCAAGGGGAAAACTTATTTTCTCCTGATGTAGTTTCAAGTGCAACTGAAAGAGGCCCAGAAATAGTGGTTAAAAAGGATCTCCATAATTGATAATTCATTAATGGCTCAATTATAAGTATAAATCATCCAAGTTAACCCTTTAACTCCTAAGATCTGATTGTTAGTTCACCCCTCTGGCTGCTACACTTTTAATTTCAACTTCTCTCTGACAAGTTCGAGTTTTCTCATTACCTGTTTGCTGGACAATGTATGGATCTTAAAGGGAGAGGTTATATGTTGGTCATTTCTTGAAGTTAAAGAGGTCTGTCATACATTGTGTGCAGACCCTAAAATATCTGATAAAGTGGAAGGGACATTCTCTATGTGCATACAGAGTCTTTACCATTCATGAGTATCAAACAAATAAAGTTGTTCGACTTACATGAATATTGAGCCATATCAAGCCTGTTCTGACACTGTGATGTTTGCTCCACTAATGGCCATTTCTCGTCAAGAAAAAATACAGCTTTCCACTTGAGGTTGTGTTTAACTTAAAAGTAACCAGGGAATCACCTAATGTACATAATGATAGGACAAGAAAAATTAAATCAACAAGCAATCACTAGAATCTCTCGAGAACTGCTCCACCTCAAAAGCGTCATCTATGTGTTTCGGGAATGACAGATACACATTTAGCTGGCCATCATGGCTCATGCTTTCCGTGGCCATTTTCTGAGGAAAATCACAGAGGGCAAGTTTAAATAATATTCATATAACATAGCAATACGTGGTGAACTGGCGGTAAGCACATCTAACAACCCAGAAATCAGCTGTCGCGAAAATTCGCGAAAGCTGAAATTCTACCTGCTCACACACACCTCTGGATAATAAAACGAGTGTTTCTTGAAATTTCGTCTCCTGTTATCGTAGGTTAATAAATGAAAAGACAAAAATTCATTCCCAGCTGAATTAAAACTTACCGTAAAAGCAGAACTTAGTCAGATACTGACCCTGATACAGTCGGGCCGAACGAGAGTTGAAAACACCGCGCAAGGTTCTGCAATTTACGATCATTAGGAAGCTAAATAAAACTAACACCAGGAAACAGAGATTTGGCATAATGATATCTTTCGTGAGAAAGAATATCTAAAAATTAATTTGCGTCAAATACGCATTAAATGACCATTTGTCTGAGGAATGTTTCTCTGCGTCTGTCCATCCGCCATGTTTTAGTTAAAATAAATTACGCTTGCGCGTTCGGTTGCCACGTGTACTTGGAAATCTAAAACCTTGGACTGGAAGATTGTAGTAGTGGATGGTAACCAGCCACTATATTGAACTTGGAATATAGGAAATTGACCTAGTAAAAAGGCAAAGTAAAAATCAGTGAGTAGTAAAAACTGGAAAAATAAACAAAAAACAACAACAAAATACGACAAAACCAACAGAAAAAAGAACAACAACAAAAAAAAAAAATGTTTAAATAAAAAAGTAGATTTAGTTTTTATTTCTTTGAAATTGAAAAAAGACACAAATAGAGATACGGTTTCCCAAAAGAAAATGTCCAGTTGACAGTAGAGAACTCGAGTCGTGAAAAAAAAAAAAAAAAAAAAGATTTCGTCCAAAGATTACCGATTCGACTGAATGCTGGGACATTTACATACGCGTATCCCGTTATTTTACACTGGTTGTATCACGGTTATTACAGGCAAAACATTTCATATCTTATTTGCAAAGGAACTTATTTTCTTTTTTAAAAGTTCTCTTTTATTTTAAAAATACGAAAATTTTCCAAGAAAATTGCACCAGGCAAATAACCTTTTTCTACATAATTCAAGATCGTTTTGCATAAGATTTGTTGGAGGCAAACAAAAAATCAGCAATATGCATTTTTAAGTGCACGATAAGGCATTAGTGGTGGCATCATGGTCATTTTTTTTTTATTACCAAAGTGAAATACGATAAGGTGCATCACCAAATTACCAGCCACAACAGAGATTGTACCATTTTAACAAGAATGTATATTTGCTTTTTATGAGTCAAAGAAGGGTGAAGCGATCGCTTTCTACTTGTTCGCGTACGTTTCCTGTGACTACAAACACGAAGTAAACGCAAATCTCTCTCGTTGAATGGAAGAAGTACCGACGTTAGTCTGTGTGATATTGAACTTTTAGCCTTCCCAGAGATGACATCTAATACAAATAACGATCGTATAAGACGACTTCATTCTCGAAGCCAAAATTTTAATTTCGATTCTAAATATTATCATCAGGTAAATTGTAATAAGTATTTCCTGGTAGATAAGAGATTAAGATTAAAATGTAAATTTGAAGAACACAATAATTTAGACTTTTCTTTGTTTATATGAATTATTTTAAGGATTAGACGTCAGATTTTTAACATATATATGCAATAATGCTTGGATTGTCATTGTGGCAAAACCAATTGAAATAAAACCTTGCAATTGTAAACAGTGGTATGAAAGCTAGCGAGGATTCCAGAACAAATGTAAGTGCCCCCTGGCCATGAGAAATGATCAAACACCCAAGACTAATAGGTTTTTCGAGTTAATGAAAAATTTCTATAAGAGTTTATGCTGTTGATGTTAGGAAATTCCCCTTGAGCCCAGTGCGCGTTCTAACGGGAAAAATATATCAATGTCTGTCACAAATTACATCAACACTAATGAACATAATCCTGTATCAAATTTAATGCTCTTTGCGTTGCATCAGAATCGACAGAAATATTGTCAACGCTAAACGATGGATGATCACGAATTAAACTTTGCGTCTTCCTTGCGGCACGATTCCTCAAGCAAGACCCTTGAGTCGGACTCATCGGAGCGCATGAATCGACGACAATCGAAGGTTTCCATCTTTCATTTAGCTGCCTTTGTTTTCGTGTTGGGATTTTGCTTCCTTGTAGCTGGAGTAGTGCTGATAACTTTGTCTCAAACACGGACATCAGAGACGCAAAAGAACTCTGCCTTCAATCAAACGATCGACAGTAAAAAAAACTACACATTTGGCGAAAACAAGACAGTCACAGAAAGTCGCTGTGCGTTTTCGTCAGGAGGTCAGCTTGCAGGTAGGTGTCATCTCTGTGACAGATGTCTTGTATTAAAATGTTTTGCCGGCAGTACCAGTCAACCATCGTTAACTGCTACTGATATATTTCTTCCATCGAGTTGATAAGCACAATAGCCAGCGCATCATTCTCGTGTAAGGAATTTTTGATTTGTTCGTTTGTTTTTGGTAATTTATTTTTTCTTCTGCTGAAGTCTCAGATCATGGTCCTCGTGACAGACTATTTTTTTAGGGTAATCGGCTTTTTCGATCGTGCTGAAAAGGAGCGAGGAATTTGCCTAAGAGCAAAGCATCTTAATCTAAATGACTTTTAACAATGCTTAGCGGTTTTGTTGTTTAGAATCCTTGGATAACTTAATCGATATAAGGAAAATATTGAATTTTTATCTGACTGATAAAATTCTTTGATTAGTTTTGTGATTTCACTATTTTGACAACCGTTCGACAAATTTGAGCTTCAATGGCAAACTAACATTCAAGTCATGTCAATGCTATATGGCAATCTTATCAATATTGTCATACATATTATTGCTTCAGTCTTACACATTTCTTTTGTGCGGCCTACATAACACATCCCCCATGTGGCTTTTGGCAAACTTTGAAAACATCTGAATGTCCTATTCTTCGAGCAAAGAATAATGACTAACTCATATGGAAACGAGAAAGTTGTCCAGCTCCCGATTAAGACTTGCCGTTGCTAATTTTGTAATGTTCCAAACTGGTTCTGTGACATCTCAAGGAATTTTTAGGAATTTCCTCCTCAATCATCTAAAAATATGGAAAAATATGAATTACTACGATTCGCGCTTTCATGGGTCGATAGGTGTGTTTAGACAACACGATTATGACGCTGTGTAGTTTAATTTAAAAGCAATACAGGACCTTTTTCGTCTTATAATCAGGGACTTATCTGAAGAATTCCTCGGAAGGTATGGAATACCAGAGACAAATAAATGTCTCGAATTCTTCCAACTCGTTTCGTGTTCAGATGAAGATAAGTAAACGTAGCCTGAAAAAAAAAAAAAAAAAAGACGCTCTATTTTTTGCGTCTTTCAAGCGAACAACCCCTCCCAAAAAAAAAAAAAAAAAAAAACAAAAAAAATTCGATGTCTTTGTTTTTTTGGCGCTCCTCTCATATTTGGTTTACGCCAGGCACTCGCCTCCTGCTTGCCTTCTTTCGCCTGAAAACGCAAAAAAATTAAGGTTTGTTACAATGTATACACGCTATACATTATTTTCACCCTTTTCGTGCATTTTCTTATTTCGTAGTGTAATAATAACCATAAACTGCAAGTAACTTCCCCATAATAATTGAAACCACGGTTTCCTCTGGCTTGGCACAACAAGATTTGTTTTTATATTGTTTGCTTGTTTTTTCTACGCTTTACCAATGTTACAGTCAGTCTAGTGTGTTTTCTGTCCTTTTTCTCTCCGGTCCCGTAGGTTTAGAGTCATTCTTCAGAAAGATAAGAGAAGTACAAACCAGCTTTACACCTTACAAAAGTTACCTCACAAAAGAACAATTTAAACCTTACAACCCAGAGCCACAGGCAGTCAAAAAGTTAACTGACCAAACAAAGAGACTCTATGAAGAACTGTTGGAGATAAAAGCTAGCTTGGAAGTGGGAAAACTAAAGCTACATGAAAGACGACAATTAGCTGTTGCGGAGCACGAATTGAAACATTTCTTCGGGAAACCTTATGGAAACAATTATTATACAGGTTAGCCAAAGTGCACCTCTGTATTCTCTATTTGGTTTCAAGCTATTGCCCTTTCTTTTTGTCAGCAGGAAGCAGTCTGGTGGCAGGAAAGCCTTCAAAGCGCGTGAAACAATTTAGATAACACTTGATGTCAACACGCGCTTGGAGACCCCACGTGCTGGAGTGTTTGGGAGACTTCGTATACTCCATGTCTTCTCCTTCTTGGTTCTTCTACTGGAACTGAAGCTTACCAATTGATGAATCATAGAATACGATAAACTTACATTTTCCGTTTGGAAGAAGAATAATTGAAAGGATTACCACCGACACGAACGTAAAGATTGAACGTAAAACAAAATGGAAAAGAAAGAGTGCCCTCGAAAAAAAAACCATAGTTTAACTAATCTTCTTCATAACCGTTCGCTGGGATGTCACACAGCGCTCCCTTCTCCCTCCACCCTAGGAGTGGAAGAGTGTGTTGCTTGACATTCCTCAGAACGGCTGCGAAGGAGATAATGGTTTTATTGGAGTAAAAGTCATTAATTATAATTTGCCGATAATTTCCACTAAGATAACAAAAAAATTCATAAGAAAAGTTTTTTCTTTTCGTCGAAAAACTGTTCTTAATTTCTGTATCGAAATAATCGAATTTTACATGCTAGTAGTCAGAGGGTGTTCACCGTCGTGACTCATATAATTTTTTTTCTCCGTGTCGATCAGGAGCTTGGATGCTGGGTCCGAGTCAGAGATGCACATTGGAACCAATCGCATCTCTACCTCTTCACTTAAACATGGCCCTTTACATATTTTTAACAAATCAGAACAAAACTTTGAAAGTTGCAGAAGATTTCATAAAGATGCTACCAAAATTTCGAGAAGGAATCCAACGGTACAAGTTGAACCTACAGAGGGGTGTGACATCTGGAATGATCCGCTCCAGAAGCGAGTGTGTCGAGGGTATTGACTGCATGAAAGGAAAATACCGTGATCTTTTTACGCAAAAATCTCCCGAGGCTGTGCTATCCTGGTATAGAGTACACAATCGTATAGAAAACTATGCGAGACACGTAAAACCGCAAGATTTATCTTCGTGGATTAAGAACTATGGTCAAAATGTGTCCGACTCTCTAACAAACAGTGTCGTCAAATTTATCGGAATGCCGATGGTCAGTTTGTTTGATTATCTCGAAAATGATCACATGGCACACTGCGTGCCTGACAATGTATCCAGTGGACTGGGAACAAGGCCCGTTGATCACGTGTATATCAACGGGAAAAAGACGTCAATAAAGACCAACCAGACATTGGATGGCAAAGAAGGGATAATGAAAGGAAAAGATGCATATGCGGAAATTCTTTCGTATTTCACCACAACAAAGTATACACCGGGCAAGTAGTGATTCTGAAAATTATGATATCAAACTAGGGGACTGGGGGAGGGGGGAAGGATTATTCGGGTTGATTTCAGTTGTGTCACAACAAAATCTGCCTGATCCCCCCTCGGCTTTTGTAGTATTCTGATAATTCTCCTTCATTGGCTGTTAATTGTCAGTAGTCCCACCTTTATACTCAGTTGGCGACGACTGATTCCCCTCCTCGTTCCTTCTGAAAACCATTTGGCACCCCCAAACTCTTCCGAACCCTCCCCCCGGCGATAAATTTTGACTGGTCCTTATAAGAATGGTGTTCACCATATCAAGATCATTATTTTAACAAGCAACCATAGCAAAGGTATGATCTACGAGATAGATTTTTAAGACACGTTTTAGCCATCGAGAACTCAAAATGAACCGTAATCTAACCTTCTCCGATTCCAAAGAATAGAGCTTACCTTGAGCTGAAGTGGAAACTTTTTGTTTTCTGAGCTACTCAGAAATTTCTTAAATCATAAACTTCTGTCATGTCAAACGTATAGCCATGTTAGTAACATGGACTTCTGTTGTTTCTGTCAGACGAGGTGCATGACCTTGGATGGAGACAGCTGACAAGGTATCACCAACAAGCTGTAGACATAGCGAAGAAGATAACAGGTCAAAGAAACGAAAGCGAGGCTGTGTCTGAATTTAAACGCCAGTTGAACTCTTTCGCGTTTTGCATCAACAAGCAGCCTTTTCCCGTAAACGAATCGGACGAGAAAGCATTTCAGAGGTGTAAAAATGATAAAGGTTAGCACTATCAAAATCCAGAATCAAATTCAGGTCTTCCATAACATTATTATTAAACTACACTGATTTACACACGTTTTTTCTGTTCATTCGCAGTGATAATGTATAGGAAGATAAACACTTGTAATGGCTCGTCGAAATACCCTTATCGAAGTCTTTTCAAGTTGTTTGATGAATTCTTAAAGTATTGTTCTTGACAGCATTTTTTGTATTTATTTGCCTTTCATTCTTTTTTGATCAGATGCAACAATTTATTGTCCTCAGCGTTATAACGCCATGTCCCACTGGATGGAAACTGTTCGCAGTACAATGACATTCTTGCGAGGCAAGCTGCTCAAGCTGTTTTACTTCAATGGCGACAGAAGGACGATACCAACTTGCCCTGATGAGCCGGTTATTAGTTTTTCCCGGTACGTTGGCGTGGCAACGCATACGCCATCCGTCGGTGACTGTCGACGCACAGCCAGGTACAACTTGCCATTTTTCGTCGATCGAATGGGGTGTAAGTACATGGAATGGACAACAGCTGTACATGAGGCAGTTCCTGGCCATCATCTTCAATCCGAGGGCTACAAGGCAATATTCCAGCCCCAGTAAGTGCGCAATAGATGGACCTCTCTCCTGATAAACGGCGAGGCTAACTAGTAATCATTTGTTTGCATGTAATTGGGCCCTTTTGGCCAACTAAACAAGAACAAGATACCTTTCACTTTAGAGAGGAACTATAAAGACTTATCTGTTCGTTCATAGGAGAATGAAAATCATATCCTCCTCTATGAAAGAGATCTGTGGTTTGGTTACACACTTTGGATTAATTTTCAAATCTTCTTGCACCACATAAAAGGAGTGATCAGAAACTTCTGGTTGAATCGGTTTAGCCTACGGGCTGGCCCTTAGTATTCGTGCTTCGGCACGAGCGTTTCTTCGAACGCGGGTAAATATGAGGCCTTGAGCAACGGGAGGGTCTAGAACTAATAATAAAACCTCATTATTAGTGCCAGATTCCTGGCGAACCTCTCCCCGGCTCGTCTCAAATCTACCCGGTGGTGGAGAAACGCGTGTCTTGCAGCACTAACAGTTAGGGCCTGCTCATGCGCTAGATTCGGATGGCAACACACTGGAGTTCAGTAAAAAGACTTCAAAGTTAGAACTATATTGCTGAGATTAAACAGCTCCGATCACTGAATGAAGGGGGTAAATTTGTAGAGAAACTGAGGTGCTGCGTCGGTGGGAGAGTCTAACAGGGTAATTAAGTACGTTATCAACTGAGTTGATAACGTAAATTGGCCACCTTTAAGAGTTACAAACCTGACGTTTCGAGCGTTAGCCCTTCGTCAGAGCTCAGTATCTGGTCATTAGAATAGTCACTCCCCACATCAATGTTAGAACCACCTTTTACTGTGCAATAAACATTACCATACAGAAGAACTGCCCAGTAGCTTTCATTTAAATGACCCCACAAGGTTTGACCCACAGACGCAAAAGTCAAACCATTTCATTACACAGCTAAATGTTGCCACTATAGAGTTTTGTCGGAAAGCTAAAGCTACATTGTACAATATCACAAATGGTAACCAATGAAAGCAAGTAACGTGCGTCTCTGTCTTTATTTTATCATTTGAAGGATAGCACCTTGTCCAAGTATATTAAAACCAAGTCCAATTATGGCTTACAAGGAAGGCTGGGCGACTTACGCTGAACATCCCCTCATGAGCCTCGATTCAGGTAACATCGATTTTCAGTTAGCAATTGTCTGTGAAGTTAGCTAAGTCCGTTAGTTAGTGCCATTTTCAACTGAGTGTCTAAAGTAATCCGAGATTACGCTTGTTTTGCTTTCTTCGCTCTGCAATTGGTCCAGAAAACTCGCGGCACGCCCCCAACCAATTGGATGCAAAACTAACATCAATTATGACTTGATCACTCGCGTTTTCCCGCGCTTCAAGCGGTTTCAGTGACTGAGTTTTCATTGGTTCTTCAAGGCATTTTCCTCTTTCTGATTGGCTGTTGTAGTTCTTTTGGTTTTGGTCTTACGACGCTCAATCTAAAAGTGCTCTTAAGTGTTATTCCGATATTGGCCCCGCAAGCAAGGTTCAATTACTTTTACTTGAAGAAAATCATTGACTCAGTATGATAAATAGATCTTAGTTACTTTTTAGTTAATAATTCATACATGTAAACCTTAATGCCCTCATCAAAATACATATTCTCCATAATGTTCTCTATACATTTCCCATAGTATTGACGGAGAGAATTTGTTCAACAATTAAGAGCTAATTTGTTGGCGATCACTTCCTGCAGTCTCATGCACATGTTAATGTATGATTTAGCGGTAGGACTGTAAGGAGAAATCAGATGCTAATCACTTCCGGTGTAAAGGGTAAATCTCTTAATAGTAAACTTAGGAATTTCAATCCATCGACATACCTCCCTGATAACATGACGCTTTGCCTCTTTCCTCTCTTAGATCTATACACAGAGCAGCCATTACGCTATTATGGGGTTATGAAATCTCAAATCTGGCGAGCACTACGCCTCGTCATCGACACGGGTCTACATTACAAGAACATGTCGCGTGATGAGGCATTGACCATATTTAGACAATACATGTGGGACAACAGCGACATCATACGGAAAGAAATTTCTCGTTACCAGGCTTGGCCTGGTCAAGCGACTTCGTACATGATTGGCCAGTTGGAGATCTGGAGAATGCGCAATGAGTCCGAAGCAAGCCTTGGGTCAAAATACGATATTCGGGATTTTCATTATCACGTGCTCTCGCAAGGAAGTATGCCCCTATGGTTTCTCGATGAGCACATCAAAAAGTTTTATGTTCGCTGTGTTTTGTCTAGAGCCTCAGAAGACGATTCGGAAAGGTGTTTCGGCGATTTCGATAAAAGAGGATTCTCTAGGTCCTTATAACTGACAACAAACATGTCCAAGCAATGTTTATCATTACAGATATAATTTTTCCACTTCAATTCGAGTGTTCTAAGTGAAAAAAGCGATTATTTTCAAATTTTCTCTCCTTTCACACAAAAGTTCAAATGAATCTGAAATGAAAATGTAATTTTAATTTTCTTCGATACTGAAACAATCATCGAAAAATTGATCTTTAAGTCGTTAAAAACTTAAGCTCGACGTTACATCATGCGAGGAAAGTATAAAAACTCTCGAGTTTGAAATCATAAAGGGAAGCGGCCATTGTTCAACGTCGCTGGAGGGAAAGTTGGAGCATTTTGGTCGCAGTCACGATGTACGTTACCCAATCTTCCCTTAGGTTCTGTGGTATCTAATGATCTTCCCTCATTGGAGGTCAATTTTGCATGGTCCGCGTTTTAAACTCTCTCAACCACGACTGATACCCCCATCTGTTCCCGTTAAAAACCACGTAACCCCCGCCCCTCTCATGAATCCTTCTTCGATTCCCCCCCTTCCCCTCCCCCCCAGGCGATTAAATAATGGCTGATTCCTAAGTGACATTCTTCTCATGTATTCAATTTTCTAGAGTGAACGCTGTCTCCAGTGAGAACTTGAGATTTTTACAACAAATGAATGACCATTTATGCGGAGAGAATAAAGTTAACCTTTTCAGCAGACGTCACGTCTAGCAAACAATTTTCCACTCTGTTGACATGCATTGAAAATTGATGAATCATTTCGCCATTTTCCTAAAGAAAGAAAGAAAAGATCAATTTTTACGCTCGACAGAAGTTTCGCGAGCATCTTTTTTTTTGCCGTTTTTGACTCAATTTGAAAATTAGAGACTGAACTGATCTTTCACCGAAACAAGCTTACTGTACATGAGTTCCACTTTTGTTATTCAAATAATTTATTTAAATAAACTTCACCCAATACTTGTTTTTTGTAAAATTCATGCTTGAATGATACTGATAAAATTTACATTTCAGCTTTCTTTCTCGAGGCGTGACTGAATACCATACAACTGTAAAACGGTATCGGTAATCAATTTGTCAACTGAAGCCCGCAAATTCTGTTTGCAGTGGTTTGCAGACATCTAAGATGGCAGAGATCGAAGCTGGGCAAGCATTATCACCTGGATCTTCAGACAAAATTCAGTACGAATCCGCGACAAAAAAACGCCACAAGCTATTCAGAGTTAAACGAAAGACAGCTTTTGTGATTGCGGCTCTCATAGCAGTGCTAGGTTTTATTTTCTTCATCATAGGTTTGGTTCTCTTAGTGAAGAGTCGTAGCGCCAAATCTGAGACACATAAAACAAGCATTGAGGGAGACATCCGTGAAGATGATGAGATTGGAAAGTGCGCATTTTCAGCCGAGGCAAAGCGTGTAGGTGAGAGTACAATATTGCAATTTGTGAGCCGAAAATGCTAGTGCAACTGAAAGATTCTTGCAGGAATTTAAACAAAGCACATGTTATATAAGCTCAGAGATTGTTCGGGGAAGCAGCCAACATATTTCTTATTGCTCCTGGTTAAGTTAGTCTCTCACGCAACCTCTTTAGAGACGTTCCCTTACTCCTCCCCTCTTAAAAAATAACTGCTGCGAAGGAGAACATTATTATTCACAATCACCAGCTGCGAAGTAAAATGATTTTTGACAAATGCACTACTTAAGGGATTATTTAACTTAATATGCGCTGAGCAACCAGCCGTGACCAATGGTGTTTGACATCACTGTGTAGTACCTCTTGTCAGAAGAATGAGGAGAAGTCATGGATGCAATAAACACAATGACCTTTTTGTCATCATTTACCTAATATACTTGCTGTTATGTAAAATCTAAAGAAAATTTTTGCCGAAACGTTCCAAAAGAGCTCTCTTTGGGACCACCGCTTCACACTTCCGGCTGAATCTTACAGACCGTAACTCCTTGAGAACCAAGTGTTTATAACGTCTTGTTCTGACTGAACTGATTGAGACATTCGAGACGATGGTTATTTCACCTTATACTCAGAGTAGAGAAAATTACGAGCTTCTCCAAATGACGTCCAAAGTTGATTTAACGGTTCACGCTTTACTGAGTCCCATTCTCCACACTGGCGTGGTAAGCTTTAAGCGCAACATAAACCAGTAATTTTCGACACATGAAAATACACGCTAAAAGATCAAATATTCCTTTATATTCTTTTACTGTCTGACAGAAATGGTCATCTTTTTCTTGTCGTTCCATACAATTTCGGTGTATTTGCTCTCTCCTTGCGCTTATTAAATGTTTACCCTAAATTAAATCTATATTACTTTGTTTCAGGTCTCCTTGAATTTTTGAAGAGGATTGATAGTACCGTCCGTGAGCTTCATCCGTACGATGCTCGTTTCATGACAGGAGTCTCCATTGAAGATAAGAAAAAGATATTCCAACCATATAACCCAACCCCGGAAAGTATCAAAGCCATTTCTGAACGCGCGCATTCTATGTTGGAGGAGTTGGGAAGTTTAAAGATCGACAAGAAGCTTCTCCTTGCACGTGAACGGCGCATGATCGCTAAAACGCATCATTTCTTGAGGCACTACTTCGGGCGGCCTTTTGAAAACAATTATTTAGCCGGTAAGTTTGGATTGAGAGAACTGAGTTACACCGAATTTGGTAACGTTTTCAAAATACCAAGAATCATTTCTCGTAAAGGAAATCTTCTAGAAGGAACGTTTATTAGGGGTCCAAAGACAAATTGATTTATCGCAAAGTGTATGCTAACACTCTCAGAATGTCAAGAGTCGTCTCTTCGCGATGGAAAATCTTAGAGAGGGAACGTGCATTAGTGTTCCAAAGACAAATTATAATAAACCATAGTGAAGAATTTGTGTGGTGTTTCAAATGTTGACAAAAGATCAATCTCTAAATGCTTAAATCGATTTCATGACGATCACAGAAAGGGTATCTGTTTGGTTCTCTCGCCTACGAAGCTCGTTACAAAATTTACCTTCACTATCCTTCTATACCGTAGGGAAATTTCACACTAGAAATGGTTAAGTGTATGAAACTCTGAATTCCCAGTTCGTGGTAAAACATCACCTGATAACGATGCAAAGATTTTTTCAGTACCTAGGCTCTTCGTGATATCGATACTCGTCTGTGGTTCATTCTTCGACTGAATTTTTCTAGGTTACTGGATGTTGGGACCAGGCAGGTACTGCTATCGGACTTTCAAGGGCATCACATCTATCAAGCAACAGCTCACCACCGTATTTCTCCTTTTCGCTCCTAAGACAGCGTCTGAACTGGAAGAAGCTTTGAATCTTCTCGCCAAATTCAAAACCGGGATTAACCAGTTCAAGGAGAACTTGAAAAGCGGGATTATAACCGGTATGGTAGGGTCCGTCACTGTGTGCAAAGAAGGAAAAGAATGTCTGGAAGACATTTACATTGAGATCGCTTCGCAGCAATCGGGCCGCGGAATCCTGACGGCTTTTCAAGATCAAATTTCAACCTTTGTCTCTGAACTAAGCTCCCAAGAGGCTGCAAAGATTAATGGCGAAGCACGGAATGAATGGTACTGATCTTGTGGAGGAGAGCCTCGTTCGTAATGTTGGATCACCGTTGCTTGATTTATTTGAGTACCTTGAGAATGAACACTTGTCACACTGCTTACCGACCAATGTGTCAAGTGGACTGGGTACGTTGCCTGTCAATCATGTCTACCTCAACGGGAGTAAAACCTTAGAGATGACAAATCCGACTTTCAGAGAAGGAGACACGGTCCTACCTGGAAAGGAGTCTTACAAAAACTTCTTGTCTTACTACACAACACAAGAAATTACACCAGGTAACTGAAGCAAATAAAAAAAGAGAACCCATGCCCCGGGAAAGAAGGAAGGATTTTTTACGGGGGGAAGGGAGGGGGGTCCTCACACCAGCATCTTCATGACGTTTCCTATCTCAGACCTTGGGGCTGGACTTTTAAAAAGAGACAGGGAAGGAAGGGAGGGGGATATTTTACACCAGCATCTTATTTGAATTCGGAGCACACCAGGATGTATCAGTTTTGATGGTACTGCACATATTCCATTGTAGATAAGGAACAATCACATTAAGATTCCCCTTAAGCTGGAATGGCTATCTGTAGGTATTAGTGGCGTTGTTTATACAAGAAAAGTTGCTTGAGAAAGGTGCGATGCAGTTAATCGAAAATGGTGGCAGTTGGGATGTGTTAAAAATTTAGTGATCTTCTAGCCTGATATCGATTGCGATGATTTCCGCGTGATCTAAACTACTTTTCATAAAACTGGCGGAACTGACGGAACGTGGTGGTGCTGCGGTGCCGCTGCGGTGGGGCCACGTCCACCTCGTTTGTATTCTTTACCTTAAGTCATATCATTAGCGTTTTAACCTTCAATATTTCAGTTGAAGTTCAAGATTTGGGCTGGGAGATGTTGGAGAAACTTTACCTACAAGCGGTGGATATTGCCAAGAAGATCACCAAACAGGACACTGAGGAGATAGCTGTAAATCAGTTTACAAAATACCTCAACTCGACGGAAATGTACTTTAATGAAAACCCTTTTCCGGAAAATGAATCTAATGAAGAGGCCTTTCGCAAATGCAAGAGTGAGGAGGGTAGGTAGCATGCTAGTTGACATAACATGCAAGAAATTCTTGGTAGCGCAAAAGTGTTGAACAGACATGAAGACATTAAGAAGCCTATGGAGGTCTTTCCTCCTCGAAGGAGGGTACTCCCACATAAAGGATATTTGGATTTGCACCGCCCTTAGGGTGTGGTTTTTCAGCAAAATTTTGATCGGAGAACTGGTCAAGATTTCGACCTTATAAGTTCTCAAATCCGAAATGGTTTTTAAGCAAACCACGAAAGCTTAAAAGCATGTTTTTCTTTTCGATTTCAGGTGAACAATAGAGAAAGGGACGTAACTAACATATTTATTCGAGTTGAATTTTGGGACAAATATTATCTATTCATGTGATTGCAGCGGGATGTTTCACGTTTTGATCTCCTTCTTGTTTTAAGATCATGCTATGGCGTACACACATGCACGAAATGTACCACCGTGTAGGGAATTATTTTCGTTACTTACATGTTGACCATTTTTTTCAGCCGCCCAAATCTATTGTCCACAGCGTTACAAAACGATGTTAAAATGGCTGGATTTGTCACGCAACACCATGTCACGCCTTTTGCCAAAATTGACAGATTTATTTTACTTCACTGGAAACAAGACCACCGTTCCCACCTGCCCAGTTGCTATGGAAATATCATTCAATCCCTTACAACCCGTGCAAAGTTATTCTACGAGTGGAAGTTCATGTCAATCGCCCAGCAAGTACAAGGTGCCCTTCTTTGTTGATCGAATGGGGCCAAAGTACTTTGAGTTCACAGTGAATGCACATGAGGCTAGCCCCGGACACCATTTGCAGTCTCAGGGATACGTAGAAAACTTCCGGTGAGTGTAGAATTTAGCTTAACTTAATTCGTTTTCTCTAGTTATTACTCCCGAAAGGAACACCCGCAGAGGTCTCGCGCGGCTAATTTCCTAACAGCGCTTGGGAATAGTTTTTTCTTAATCATGACAAATAAATACCTGCAACCTCCATGGCTCTTCACTTTTCCGCTGTAATTTGTATCTTCGAGTACGTACTATGACTTCTGTGTCTGTGTTTTGACCAAAAGTAAAAAGCGAAGATGGATGAGTGAAAACGTAAACAGGCCACGAGACATGGTGTAAAGAGCTTTATTTCATCATTTCTGTACAACACGGGAGATTTTCGAAAAGCGAATCCGACCGGGCACAAACAAAGGATAAACACAATACAAGATCCTTAAGTAAAAATAGTATGAGTGGCGTGAATCATGCGACTGTTCAATTACAATTTCCATCCTTCATCGACACTCGAGGCATCGAAAACAACAACAACTTATCAAGGTTTTAAACTTTACCTTCGAGACTTCTTCCAGAGACTGTTCTAACTGCAGGTTGTTACTTTCTTTGGGACCTTTCCATCTTTCTAAAGCCACTGCTCGATGAAAATTGAGTCAAAACATAGAATTTTCTTTAGACTCTAAAGATTGCGACCACGCAACAGAAATTTCCCGTTCAGTTAAAGAAACATGCGAAGCAGTGTGCGCGGTCAGCCTCGAAACCGGAGGACTGGGCACTGATTTCAAAAGAATCTACGCTATTTTTGAGTTATTTTTTTTCATTAAAAAAATAAATAACATCTACGTTAGTGTACAGAAAGTGGCATGTTGCTCGCACCAATCAGATCGTTTAGGTTATATATCTCGTACCAATGAGATCGCGGCATCAGGGACCAATCGGAGCGTCGTTTTTGTTCTTTGGTTTGAGAAGTGTTCAAATTTCAACAAAGTAAAGGGGGATTCGGAGAGAGCGGTTCGTAAAATGGAATCATCTTTTAGAATGAGAAATGTTGGCGTTTCTGTGTTTTTAACGTGTATTTTGCCGCGCTTTATGAGAAATGCGATACTACTGAACAGATGAAAGATATCAGATTACCTATGGTGAACGTGTTACTCATGCTGTGAAAATGGTGGATAGTTGTTCGAGAGAAAATGGAGTTCTGTGCACTGTAACACGATCATGGTTATTCTTCCTTTACGACGAGAGTGAGTGGAAAAAAAACAGTGCAAATAATCGTGAAAGTTGACCGCGGAAAGGTGATTGCGTGACGCTCGGTAAGTTGTAAGATGACATGTTATCACATACCAAACGAAAAAACTCTTAAGATTCTCAGTCTGCATTTTGTACCCACTCTGCAGTCTGCAGTCTACATTTTGCACCTAGTCTACATTTTGTATCCGGTCTGCAGTCTACAGTCAGTATTTTTTACTAACAGGTATCCGTGGCACCAACACAGTTTATTTTTGGTTACAGCTATTCGCACAACACACACAATCTACCAAAAAATACCTGTGTGTGAGTTAATTCGACATTTTCGTTCTTTACCGCGTTAATACTCTTCTTTCCTTTTGTAGGAATGTAGACATCAATGTTTCAAGTAATCCATCCACCCCCCAAAAAAAAAAATTCTTGCATGCATAGCATGCCTATGTTTAATCCATGGAGGAAGTAAAAGGGTTGTAAATCAGAGGTGGGGGGTTGCTGAAGTAGCTAAAACTATTTGATGAAACTTGCTCAAAACTGACACTCGTTGCTGTTGCAGAGATGTATGCCGGGAAGGCGTCAATTTTCAATTCCTAAAGGATATTACAGGAATTGCCATTAGAGAGGGTTGGGGTTTGTACTCCGAGAATCCACTAGCAGCACAGGATACAGGTCAGTAAGCAATCATTGAGTTGTCAGCTATCCAAAGTAACTCTATTGTAGGTTTTTTTTTTTCATTCTTCGCAGATCTATATCACAACCGTATCCTTGAACGTTACGGTGCTCTCAAGGGTCAAATATGGCGCGCACTTCGCCTCATCATAGATACCGGCCTCCATTCCAGGAACATGACGCGAGAAGAAGCCATAGATCTCTTTCGGCGTTATATGTGGGATTACAGCGACGTTGTTCCAAACGAGGTCAGTCGATACCAGGCATATCCGGGACAGGCGACCGCCTACATGACTGGTCAGCTGGCAATTTGGAGAATGCGCAATGAAACTTCAAAGAAACTCGGAGCAAAGTTCAAAATTCAAGATTTTCATTATCAGGTATTGTCTCAAGGCGAAGTTCCAATTTCATACCTTCAGACCCATATTGAGGAGTACGCCAACTGTGTACTGCATGAGAGAGGCAACGGGTGTTGGGATGCTCTTACTGTTGTTAACGAACAAGAGCATTACGGACAGACATCTGCACTAGATGAGCGACAACAGCGGATAATACGTGAGAAATTAAACCAGTTATATCCCGCAGACTCTTGTATATTTTAACGATGTAAATGATAACACGTAGCATAGAGTATTTTAATGTCCACATTGGGAATTTTTGTAGTGAATTGACAGAGATCTCAGACCAATGTTATTTTCTGAGCAACTGTACACCTACCCCTCCCCTAACCCGATAACAGTCAACTGATAGCGCACCTACCCCTCCCCTAACCCGATAACAGTCAACTGATAGCGCACCTACCCCTCTCCTAACCCAACAACAGTCCATTGTAAACAGCTTAGGATTAAAATGTACAAGTTGGGTCAGGGGAAGGGTAGGTGCACAATTGTTCAGATTCTGTAATAATAATTTATCTGAGATCTCGCTGTCTAAGAGAAAACACTAAATACAGCCTTAAACTCTTTTATTCGTTGAAAAACAATGGAGCACTTGGTCATTATAAGAGCTTCATTGCTTTTTTTTTAGACTTTATCTGCCATGTGTTTTTCCATTGGCTCAGCGGGACAGAAATAGGAGGGAAATGTTTTCTCATAGTACGCCGGAGCCTGGTAATGAATCATGTGATTTTTGACGGGGAGTTATCTTCATATTTGTCGTTTTCTCGCCCATCAACTCATTCGATAGATTTCAAGTTTAAGTGATGAAATGATCTTCTCAGGTGAGTTGCTAAAATTGCGGTCCGCTTGCAAGAATCATTTCACTGAAGATTTGTGATCAAATTTCACGTTGTATTGTACAGTATCGTCAGTCGTATTGATATTTGCACGTATGGATCTGCAGGTATGGATCTGTTGAGTCTGCAGAAAAGGTCCGAGTTGATAGCGTTCTTCATGTCATCGCTGTCGATGGTTTGTGAGAAAAATGTCAAATTAGTTTTGTAAATAAACAAAGAAGGCAATGATAGAAAAAAGGAAATAGAAATATCGCTTATTGCACACGACACATCATTTAATCCTTTACATCCTAACATCAGTATCTATCTTCTCCATACTCCTCTCTCTTTGTTTCTTTTGGTGCTGACAAGGAGAATTGATTTAAAGATCAAAGCTTCCAAGGTTGGTGATCGTTTCCTTTATTCTCTTGATCTGAATGAATGGTTAGCTGTATTATTGTAAGGAGAAATTAGACGCTGATCACTCTTAGGGTTTAAACGATTAATACTTTTAAGATTCGCAAATCAAAACGATGTCTTTTAAACCTTTTAACTGCAGGCAAAAGTTGGAAAATACAGGGTTAACCCAGCGTTTGAAAAGTGTTAAACTGTGTGTATCAGAATTAAAACCAAGCATGGCATAACAACATAAGCAATCCCTTACAGCTTTTAAAATTTATTCAGTGAGGAATTGTAAAGAGCACGAGGAAACGTGCCGGTCTTTTTCCGTCTGATTGCTTTTAGTTTTACAAAAAGAAGGGGTTTATCAGAGCCAATCATATATCAAAGTAATTATTCTGGTTGTGGATTAAAGGGATGATGGGGGGAGTGGGAAGTGAATTGTCTCGTAAATCCATGCAGCTATTTCTAGTCTTTATAAGAAAAGTGGGCCAGTATTTTGAAGGTTTTAGCATTGAAATAATGCTGACTGGCTTACGTGCATGCTGCAATGTTTATTTGTACTTTCTGAAGTTTTCTTAGCTCGGCTTTTATCGATGTCTTCAAAGGTTTACTTTTCAACGAGGAAATTTGTTTGTCTCTTTCAAAGCCTATGTTTTTTCTACACGTATCATGTGTTAATCCACCTCATAGACGGATTAACACCGGCTCAAGGAAATTTTCCAAACAGCTTAGTCGAGAAACGAGACTGTGGGTCTATTTTGAAAGTCTCTGAAACAGGATTTTTCGGCCTGGGAGATTTTGTGGAAAATTCTCGGAGACCGTTTCTGAGGGGGATATCTTTCGCCATCCTTAGATTAGAAGGTGAGAAACGTTCTTTTGCGGGAGATTTTTGGTTTCACTCCTGGCGAGGAAAACTGTTTGTTGTCACTTGTTTAAAACATTAACGAGGTATCTTGCCAAACAAAAAAAACGTTATTTCGTTTTTTAAGCAAAATTATAAGCCATTCTTTGCGGATGACTTGGTTCTTTTTGCGATAATACAATGACACTACCGAAAGTTTAACATTTATTTTATCAACTAGCAATAACACACTGAACTTATACACTCATTGGATACAAACATCAGCGAACGCTATGTGTTTTATGCTAGTGAAAAATGTATAGGAATTCTTTAAAATAAATATGCGTTCACCTGCATTGCGAGTTATCTCAAAATACATCATACATTAGCTGTACACTCGTCATTTCTTGAATTACTTTGACATTGATTTCGTCCATAGGTGAACAAGTCGACAAGTCAGTAGTTTTCCGCACTTGACTGTGGGCTAAATCATAAAATTCAGCACAAAAATAAGTTGGCTGAATTAGCCCTCCGGCATCGCCTTTCAAAATGTTGCCAATTTTGCTGAAAAGTTAGTCCTCCGTGCCTACCCAGAAGAATGAGAATTGATGTAAACTTTTAATAGCGAGCTGATCGAAGATTTTCAATCTTACCCGAAGGCAATGCGCTCTAATCTTTTCAAATTTGTTTACCATCCACGTCAGTGTCCTTTCTATTCTTTTTCTGCTTTCTTTCAATAATTGTAACCGTCATCAACAGAATTGTTGTGTTCCTTCCGTTTTACCCATTTCAACGCCACTACAAATTGTGAACAACAATCAGTTTACTACCCAGAGGCGACTTTTTCAAGGGTTGGTTCTGAACATCTAAACAACAAGTCTTCGCTAAAATAACCCATAAATCATGGCAGAGTGAAGCGCGGAAAATCACCGAAAAATATCAAACTTAATTGAAGACGAACTCTAAATGTGAATTTAGCTCTCTTAGCCGGCAGTTTTGAATAACGAAGCCGCAAGAGAAACGTGCTAAGGAAAGGGAAGTTGCTTGTTTTGCCGCACGAAGTTTCACCGCCTTTTTTTTGTTTCGACAATTTCCTCCGAGTTCTCTCAGCAGCAACTGCTGGTTAAATAGAACTATGTTCGGGAAAGGTTTAGGAAAAACTCACGGACTTGGTAAAAAAGCCCGAGGGAATTCTAGAAGCGACGGCGCATTTTCACTCTTCTCCAAATTTATGGTCTTTAGAAGGGACATTTCTGTGCTCAGAACATCCTTTTTGCATTTCCGCTACGATTGAGACACATCTATCTTCGGCGTTTTCGGTTAAAATATTGCACGGTAGTTTTCAGGAATCCTGACTAATGACAACAACACTCTTTTTAGAAATTAAAATGTGTTTTGCAGCGGCAGGAGATGAGAACAAACACAGCAGGCCCCTGCTTTTTCGATTATAGTAGTCCGTTGTTACAAGTACACCTGCAGTCTTTACGTTAAAGGTTTTTCTTTTCGGGGAGCATCTATTTTGACAGCTTGTGCGTCGAACATCAAAATAAAATGATATAAAAAAATCTAATGATAACTTAGAACGGATTTGCATGCAAAGAAATAAAATCAAATAATTTGATTTCTGCGAATTTTACAGTGCATCACGCTTGTAAGAAAATTAAACTGATTTTTTGCGTAGAAAAAAACTTAAAATTGTAATCGTTGTGATCCGAGAAAGGGCAACAGTGTTAAAAATTTTACGATTGAATATTAAACCATTGCAATCAAAATTTGAACATATAATCATTTAGATCAAGTCAAATAAAAGGCGATAATTTTTACAAATTTGACAAGTTTAGAACAACAGAACGAGGCGTCAAGTAGTACTTAATCAAAATCTGCGTTTCGTGTGAGACCTGTCTGAAAAGCGAAGAAAGTAATTTTTCGGAAGGAGATATTCTGTCATTATTTACACGAATGCGTCTATTGGTTGCTAAGAATTCACGTGACCGCCGTAGAACGCGACAGAAATAATCCTTTTGTGATTAACCGTACAAAGGAGGCAATTAGCACTAAAAATGCCAAGTGCAGGGAACATGGATCTATGGAATCTATTCACGGTTATGAATATGCAGAGAAATTGATGTCAAATCGACCAAGAAGTGTTTACCGGCACATCACTTGCGATTTCTCATTCCTCGGCCAACCTAGTCAGGATGTAACAAGCATCGGGTTTTTGCGCAGGAAGAAAAAAATCGCATATTATCCGAGCGTGCTTTTTTTTTCGGCATTTTCAAGTCTCACGCCGGCGGGAATCCTCAGCTTTATAATGGAGCCAAACAATGGTGTTAAGGAGCATGTTGGTCGCGTCGTAATCAATGTAAGCGGAGCGATCTTCGAAGTAAGCGAAAGCAAGTTGCTTCATTTCCCTCAGTCGCTACTGGGCTGCCCTCAGAAACGGAGCAAATATTTTGACTCTCAGCGCGAGGAGTATTTCTTCGATCGTCACCGACAAGCATTCGAGGGTATACTGTTTTACTATCAAAACGAAGGGAGATTAGTTTATCCAGACAATGTGCCATCAGAAGTTTTTGATGAAGAAGTTAAGTTTTTCATGCTCCCCGTTGAGCCAAACAGCTGTGAGAAGTTGGAAAGGGTTATACTCGGCGATTACAACCGCTCGCGTCCTCTGAATATTTGGCAGAGGACACTCTGGGAATTGTTTGAGTTTCCCAATTCATCGCTGGCTGCAAAAATTCTGGCAGTTCTCTCGCAGGTGTTTATTATCGTATCTTTAGTAGGTTCTTGTCTGAAAACTGTCGAATCGCTTCAACCAGAGCGTACCAAGGTGATAGAAAACTTTCAGAACCATAACAAGTCTGTTTACCGAGATTTAACGCCGTCTGAGTTACATGACGATGACTGGTTTTCATTCGATCTTGTTTGCTACAGTTGGTTCACCTTGGAGTGTGCTGTGCGGTTACTCGCGTCCCCAAACAAAAGCGAATATTTCAAATTGCTTCCGAATTGCGCAGATTTTGCTACGATCTTGGTTTTTTATTTGGAACTCATTGTGAAAATGGCTTGGCCCTCGGCCACCGTGGTGGTCCGTTTACTGGAAACTTTTGCGGTCATCCGAATATTAAAGTTAGTACGATACTGCGAGGGAATGAAAATCCTGGTTATTACTGTCGTATCAGGCATCAGAGACCTAGGCCTTTTGGTAACGTTCGCCACAACCTTTGTTATTTTGGGCTCGAGTGCGGTATTTTTTGTAGAACTGAACGAGCAGGATGATAGTGACTTTAAGAGTATTCCCGATGCATTTTGGTGGGCGATAATAACAATTTGTACAGTTGGTTATGGCGATAAAGTTCCTGTCACAACACCGGGAAAGTTTATGGGGGCTATCTGCGCTGTACTTGGTACTGTAACAGTTGCTCTGCCTCTGTTCCGCTTCGCTGCGCATTTTCGCACGAGTATCGAGCACTCCTCTTACATTCTGCCGCGTCGCGATAGAAAAGTTTCTTCTTCGAGACGAAAAAGTCGATGAAATAGCTTTGATAATTCGTTTAAGAGATGATTTACGCTCTATATTTCATGTAATTTCTAACTTAGCGACAATGAAAATTTAGATTAAAAGGAGAAAAATAGATTCTACACACGAACAGGACACCGAGGCGATATGATTTTATGCAAAAAGATCATTATGTCAAGAATAAGAAAATATTAATTTGAAAAGAGATTTTGTATGGTGAATAAAGTGACAGGTCACATTGTAATATGCATTTAAGAACCGCAATCGAGTTGGCCATTTTCCGGAAATGACATGTTCTGTAAATTACGCTTTCATTTCAAAGATGATTATCATATTTTTAATATCATACAAGCGTCCTTGTGACATACAGTTTATCAAAGCCGATGATTAATGTTGAAATTTCCAGTGAGGATTCTTCATAAGTTCTTGGCTTTGATTAGGAAAAAAAAACCGCATAATATTAAGGGACATGTATGGCATTACTGTAGACACTACATGTCACCGCTAAAAGCGATTGTATACTAAATTTGAGTTTTGTTTTCGAGACAAAGCTTCGGTCCTGTGTTTCCCAAAACAAAGACAAAACATGGAGAAGCCAAGCTGACATAAGTGTTTGTTTTGAAATGAAATTCACATCGCTGCGAGAAAACCTGTTTTCTGAACCAATTGTGGTGTTTATTTTAATGAGCTACAATTTCTTCTTTCCTCTATGACTTTAGGGCATTTCTTGTATCTTCAAACCCGATCAGTAATATTCTTTTTTTTTTTTTCATGATTGGACGCTTGTACGGTTGCCTTTGTCGTGGCAGTAACTAAGTTGTATGAAAGACGTTTATGAAAAGTTTTCATTTGAGATATCACAATTGTAAACCTAATAATGGTGATGTTGACAGCGACATTAAAGCGAAAAGCTCATTTAATCAAGCAATACCCTGAAGGGATTAGATAGATGGGACATTTCTGGTTTTCATTATATTTCTAAACCTGATGTTCGTTTTCGCCGGTACGATTTCCATAACAAAGAGATCTTTTGAGCGTTTTAGACTGAGGGAATTCTCGTGCGAATAGGTTAAAGAATACTCCGATTGGTTAAAAACCGCAAGATTTTAGAACCCAGTTATATTCAATTGACCATGATAGTAATACATACTATTCGTAACGTTGCAAACCTTCATTTATTTTATTTCAATTAAACTCTGTTTTGATGTTATGGTGGAGAGACGGTGAAATAGCATCGCGCGCAACGGGGTAGCTGTAAGTTTATCGTCAAATAATTTTGATGAGTAAAGCTTGAAATTCAAGTTAGTCACTTGTAGACCAGAGATACAAGGCAAAAATATATTATTAAATAAATTGACAGTAATGGATGGATGTTGTGGGCGGGCACAGCTGCTCTTGAAAATGAACCTCCTCATTTTTCAGCGAAAAATTTTGTCAGACATTGTAGTTGGGTTACCTGCCATACGTGTAAAGAATTTTGAAGTGAAACTGCACAATAATATAGCTATATCTGCTAAGCGAACAAAGGATATTTGTTCGGTATCATAACCGCAACTTTTTTTTGTTTATTAAAAATCTTCTACGTGACTTCCGCTCAACGCAAATTATTCAGTGGAGGTTAGTTGTTTAGTTCGTGCATCTGTTTTCATTTTTAAACCAAGGTGCTGCTGCGTACTATTTAGGAAAGAGAAAAGTAGAAGAATCTCATGTGTGTGAAAATATATAAAGCAAACAATTATAATAATAACTATAATTCATTGCTCCTGTGGTTTTCTTTTGATAATGGCCATTAGCTGGACAAAGGATGGGGAAGTTATGAGAGGACAACTTGCGCAAACTCCTAAAAGTTTGGCACAACGAGAAGAGTTTTTTTCTCGCGCATGCTAAGTGATATGAAACCCTCAGGGGAAATTTTCGTATCTTGTCTCTCGGCTACACGGAGTAGACAAAACTTATGTCTGCCAAAGACACCGCATAACAAAAAGATTAAGAGTATGTAATCTCTTCTCCGCATGATAGAAGATTTCATTTACAGAAAGAATTTGCGCGGAATAAATTGGTGTTATTCAATAGAATAATAATAATACTGCTTTAAAAAAATTAACCCTCCCTTCGGTTAAAAGATAATGGAAGAATCACATTACCAATAACTGGTACATTTTATTATATTGACAAAATGTTGTCATAAAACCATAACATTGCGGTCAAAATCTACAGGAACCTGTGTCGACACTGAAAATAAAAAATAATGGCGGTGAATCATCTTCCTTAATTCTTATAATGAAATGACATACACGAGACAGTCTTAATCACGAGTTATAATTTAATTTTAGAGTCACGTCAAAATTTTAAACGATCCGAACAACATTAAGTTTTTTTTTAAAATTTACGTACTAATGTTTAATTAGCAAAGCACAGATTATTACCAGAAGCCCATTACTAGCTCTTGTTATTACTTATTCCCTGAGGGGTAGAGGGTCGGGAGATTTTAGTTGTGTCATGAAAAAATTAAGCTGGTCCTCCCATAAGGCTTTGTAATATTCCAATGATTCTCCCCTCACTGGCAGTTAATTAATTGGCAGTCAATGTTCTATCGTTCCCTGTTTATACATTGTTAGCGAGACTGATTCCCCGCTTCGTTCCACTTCGAATCCATGTAATTCCCCCAAAATTCCTCTGATCCTTCCCCGCAATAGATGATACGTAAAAATTGACTGGTCCCTAATCAACCACGATGATGATATGTATACAAAATATTGGAATCATTTTGTTACCATTGACTCTCCCTTGCCGGGCTCCAAGATCGCCGGCATCGAAGGAAAACAGCCCGCGCTCGAGTCAGTTTTTTGGGTAATAGATTGACACTCCGAATCCAGACAATTAGCATGTAGTCGTTCATTTTTGTGTCCTGCCTCTTGCTGACATGCACAACGTTTGTCCGGAGCGATGAAATCTAACTCACTGTTCACTTTTATTTCTGTGAATGGGTTCTTTCCCGTAGAGTTCATTCGGTTGGCAGCACGTTCCAACTTGGGCGAGTCCTCCACTATTTCGCTATTCTCTGGAGTGGCCAAGAGTATTTTTACATCTTCTTTTTTTTGTTCCTTCAGGAATGGCACTTTGAACTTGCTTTTTTGTTTCGGATTCTTAGCAGATTCTTCTTTACTTTGCTCGGAACAGGTTGGATTGTCCTCATCGCTCTTAGCGTTCTCGAGCGCAGAGAACGAGGTTTCCATTGAGTCGCTGCCTTGCCAGCTCGATGAATCCCCGCTGGTCCTCTTTAATATTCCTTTTTTAGGAAAAGGAGGCCTGATACCTTTTTCTTTAGTGCTGTTAAGTGTGAATGCAACAGGATTTGGTGATAGATCTTTAATTTGCGATCCTTTCTTTTGATCCGAGACGTTATCGTTCTCTTTGAACGCTAGCAATGGAATGTCTTTACCTGTTGGGGAGGAGGGTTTCGATTCCATTGTGCGGGAATGGGGTCGGCTAAAAAACCTTCTTTGACTTTTTCTCGTTTGATCGTTTGCACAATTTTCTCCATATGAGGCGTCCTTGAAGCAATTTTCACGCGCATTGTCGACATAGTTGCTTCTATGTGCCAAGAGACTTTCGTGCGACATAGTGCTTCGCTTGTGGATTTTGCTTCCTCTGTCCTTTGCCAAAAATTCTTTGATTATTTTTCTGGCATCTTCATCTGGTCTTTCTTGTCTCCCTCGTTCTGCGATGGCAGCCACAATCTCTCGAGGATTCGTAGAGTTACCATTTTCTCTTCGGAATCTGCTGGCTAGAGCTTTAACTTCGTTTTTGGCCTCAATGAGTGACAGGCGACGCTTAAGAGTTTCCTTGTCGGCCACAAGCCATTTACGAGGGTCGTGCCCCTGAAGGCGGGAGTCTTCAGCTGCAGGGAAATAAAAAGAAAGACAAAGGCAATTTTGTTATCTGAATCGGAATCTAGAAAGTAATGAAACGCTCGGCTGCAACACACTGCAGGCGTCATTCACTTTCCAGTCTTTTCCGGTGATTGAACTTATTTCCGCGCCAGAAAACCGTGGACTACGGCTTTCATGTTCAACAGTCCGGAATTTCTCATCATATGATCTGACTAGTCACCAATTGGAAAGCTTAATACAAACTAAGGCAAACCAGGAAAACCTTAACACAGAAAACATTCGATGCGCTCAACATCTTTCAGAAAGTCAAATCAGCAAAAAACATGTATTTCAGTTACATTTGTGTAGCCAGTCTGCTTAGTAAGACATTTAACTTCATTTTTTTCAAAGCCAAATCATGACGACGTAGCTCTGGGAACAAGTAAATGCTGGATGAGCCTGCAAGCATCGGTTTACATTTCTCGTTTTGATCATATCAAATGATTATATAACTCCGAAACTTTGCGTAAAAATATCGGATTTACGTCAATTACTTGGCCACAGGTTTCAGAGCGCTCAAACATGGCGAGGATGTTGTGTATTTAAACGTTTGACACGATCATAAGAGAATCAGTTTTCCTTCAACAAAAAGGCAAAATGAGGTTGGTTTGAAACAATGCCTAGAGGCTCTAGAGATTTTTCTCTCAACTAACTTGACTGATCCTTGTCCAAGTCGTCATTTTCTACTTTTTGATTCATTCTCTCTCTCCGCTGTTTCTCGTACGTCTGCCGAGCGATTTTCGCCAGTTGTTCTTTCTCCTCTGGGTAGAACGCGAGGACCTCCTCTAGATCAGCCTTCGATAGTCGGAAAAGATCGGAGAATCCTACCGAACGAACGGAAGCAGTCCGACGATTTCCAATCCCTTTTATGTCAAGAATACTTATTTCTCCAAAATGTCGACCGGCGGAAAGTTTCGCTAGTGGTGCTCCCCTCTTGTCAACAACTGCTAACTCGCCTTGATTGACAATGTACATTTCACGCCCTATTTCATCTTGACGACAAACATAATCTCCTAGAATTGATTAAAAAAACAAAATCATAAAAAGAAACGAAAAACAACACATATCAACCGAAGGCTAGAATCCAAATTAAAAAACGCATCTTTTTGGTTTAAATGTGAAGTGTACGGTCTTCAATTTTGCGCAGAACACCTTTCACATTTTAAACCAATCATAGAGCAGACTTAATCTAATCGTGATTCTTTTTCGCGTGCGCGCGAAATTTCCCCACCCTTGAACCCAATCACATATCCATAATCTAAATTCCTATTAGTTAAAATGTCTTATTTATACTTTGCATGATACGGGGGAGCGTTACCTGGGGAACATAACATGGGCTTCAACTTTAAAACGAGCTCGCGCAAAAAGCCTGGATCGCAGTGTTCAAACATCTTCACTTTCTTCAGTGTGTCCAAGTTGACGTGAATGGCAATTTCTGCGCGAATATTGTCGTTTAGTTGTTGAAAGAGCTCCTCCTCACTCATATCTTTCTTGTTTCTCCACGCAAAATCAAACCACTGAATGACTCGCCGCTGAAGATCCATCGGTAGTTGATTAGCCGCGATATACTCCTTCATTCCATCCAACTTAAGATAAAAAGGTATAATCGCATTTAATAAGAAATAATTTGCAGTGAATAAAGGGACAAAAGGTCTGCTAAATTACTCTCAGTATGTACCAGAGAGATGAAATGCTAACGTTGTATTTTAGTAATGAGGGTCAAGACTCAGTGAGACGCCTGCTTTTGTTGGTCATTAAATCTAAGTTGAGGAATTGACACGGATGTCATCTTTAGTTATATCTCTAGATTAATTAAGGAAATCCACAAGAGTAATACACGAAATGACATAAAAAAACGGACAATCAAACAGGGGGAGACGGACAAAAAGGCGGAGAAAGAAAGAAAAATAAACAGATCATGAAAGACAGAGAGATAGAGAAGTTAGGCACTCACAAAGAACACAGTCTAAGAGAGAACGAGAGAAAAACAATAACATACAATAAGGAAGGCAGGCTAGCCGCTCGTAGAAAGGACACGCGTAGAAATAGGACAGTCAGAGATCAGATGGATGCACTGACTGACAGATTAAAAAACGGGACACATGTTTGAAACATATGCAAAAACGAAAGACAGAGAAACAGACAGTAAGACATACATGGACACAGTCAAGGAAACAGATAGACAGCGACAGACAGATAGATAAAGGGTAAAGGTTTTTACCCTTTACAGTGGCCAATTTACGTTTTCAATTCAGTTGTTAACACTAAATTACCAGATAAAGGGTAAGACGGACAGTCGGAGACAGACAGACAGACAGACAGACTGAGAGATAATAGAACCATAAACAACAACAGACCTTCCTATGGTATTTCTCTCGATGTCTCCTGAGATCAACAATCATATCTGCCGCGTTGCCTACAATGGTAGCAAATATCAGAACTCCACATAGGTACGTGAAGATACAGAACATTAGACTCATGGTGGTCTGGGGCGAGACTTGTTTACCTGTGCCCACTGTTGTCATGGATACCAGTGAACGAAACAGGCTGTAGAGATATTGAGGACCGACCTGAAAATGGGAATAGAGAACACTCAGTCTCGTCTTGTGACAAATTTAAAGTCGCCATGATGGATTGAGCATATGAATTAAGCACATGTCTTTACTCACCTCTTCCCACTGACCCTCGAGCTTGGGATGAAGCCATTTGTCAGCTCCAAATCCCTCCATATATGAAAGAAGAAAGTAGAAACAAGCCACCCAATGAATTATCAGAAACAGATAATGAATCTGCTTTAGCAGGTTAAACAGCTTGGGGCGACCGCTGTAGATCTCAACGCGATCGCAAAAGAGAAAAAGTCTGTGCGCCTTGAGTAGCCGACCAAATCGCAGAGCAGGCCTGGGACCTAACACCAGAAAGAGGAGGTCGACTGGTAGGATGGAAACGCAATCCAGAAAAAAACCCCGAGATTTCATGTAACGTTTGGCCAGTTGTTTGGTATCTGTGACTATCTTGCCGTCGAGAAAGTACCCTGTGCGAAATTGCACTATGATGTCTAGGAGAAATACGAAGTCACAGCTATAATCGATCGCCATGAATGGTATTACAAACTTCTGCTCTCGTACGAAAAAAGCCACGCGGAAAATAATCATCCAGTAGTTGTACAAGATTCCGAGAACGACCACGATCAGCCAGAAGAAGTACAAGTCCCCTGAAGGGTCAAACACCAGCGTACAATTGCAGCTTGCCTTGTCAAGCCGGGCATCTGATGCGTCGCGAGAACTCCCCGTCCCCTCCGAAGTGGGGCTCTGAACTTGGGGTGAATTTGAGGCTGATCTGCGCATGAGTGGTCGGCGCCAGTCCCTGTCTTCTTGATATGTGCCGGTGTAGCGCTCGAGCCAAGAATCACGTGATCTTCTGCCAGTTTTCTTGTAGAAACGTTGCATTGATAAAACTCTAAGCACGGAGCTCGCAAATCGCGTCTGTCCTGTGGATTCAATGACCACCCTGGGGATTTGTGGGCCGGCGGCCTCTCCTTGACCAGATCCATGATTCACCTCAGTCTGGGAACTATCGTCTGGAGTTAGATTCGTCGGCCGTTGCATCTTTTGTGTTCAAACTAAACACCTGTATCGGTAAAAATATCATTTAAATCTTCGAGGAATAATGTGTAACTTCAAGTTTATCTACAAAGATTCTTTAATTTCTCAAATAATCCTTTAGCGTGCGAGCAAAACAAAAGCAGCGGGGAATTTTGCGAACGCTCCACGGCTGGTTTTTTCGCTCTTAGCCAGTTCTTACTCATTCACAAATGACGTAACTTTTAACAACATTCTTGCACTAAATCTTGACCGAATTATGCAATGGAAGTAGAACCCCTTGTTATGAAGATCAGGCCTTGAGTTAAAAAGGAATCGAATGCCAAATCAACGAACCCCACGTAACAAAGATCTTTGGTAGTAAACTATACACTAAAAGGAACCCCAATCTAAAAGCCAAGTTTCATCCAAAATTCCATGGGCACTCCATTTCAGAGTCTTGTAACTAGGAATAATCAAATAGTTGCTCTTTTTTTTTTTGGCATAAACCAATTTTGGTTCATATTCTTGTTAAAGGTTCGCTTCGACGTCGCTGAACCAGCTCAACATTTTCCTCTAATCAAATTCGCCGACACTCGCAGCAATAGAAAAAGTGCGCTTGTACAAGCCCATAAAAGCAATCCTGATTCGAGTCGTTTTGGGCACCATAGCTCGGCCAAGGAGATTTAATTTCAACTCCGGACGGTTACTTTTCATCTATAAACAAAGCTCTCTCACAAACTTTATCCTTTGGTTTCGTGGCAACAAGAGGATTAGACATCCGCTAATCTGCATGATCGCTTGTTTCGTTAAATGACCCCAGTGCTTGGCAAAACTTAGCGTGTGAAATATGTTTTGACATCAAATTGAATGCCAAATAATTTCCTAATGTAATTTGAAGGTATTTGAAGGCTTTCTAAGACAACTCTGTAAATGCAATTTGTAAATTTGGCGATAAAAAGTGGTGTTACTTGGTTGCAAACGACCGCAAAACTACCATGGAACAAGTTTTTGGCGATAATTACTGTGCAGAATTGCAATTTCATCCTATTAAAGAACCTATAACGTAAAGTAAAAAGCAGAACCAAGGTAACATTTAGAGTATCATGGTTAAAACCCCCAAATCATAACCAAGTACGACCTTACAAACGCGTGATGAAGATGTCAAGTGACTTTCATTTGGCTCAATTAGTTTAGACATGACGAACGACTTGTGTATGATTCTACCTGCCAAAGACAAAACACTGATATCAAATCGAGTCACAACTTTGACGAGTAAGGCAGCAACGAAAAATTTCCTCCAATACCGGATAACACCGTAGGTACATCTAAGCGTTGCTTTTGAGATAAAATTTTTTAGGCACATCAAGGTAATCGTTTATTTTACCTTAAAGAACTTCAGGAGAAAATGATTCAGATTTTAAGTTGTTTTTTTTCCTCGGTAGTGAGTTGCGAGCTACGGATTGTCAATTGGTATCCAACTAGAGTTTTTCCAACGATGCCACTTGTGTATAAACTTACCTTTTTTTCGTTTTTCGGCGAGGAAAAGTGTTTCCTGATAAATTTTGAGGTAAGGTGAACTCGAACACAAAGTGCGCGATAAAAAGAGAAAATGGTGGGAAAAAACTTACTTTGTATATCGTCATAGCTCGCAAAGATTTCAGCGAATATAAAAATTATCGACCCACATTAAGATACGTTACTATAAATGGCACCATCGACCGTTCAAGGTCACTTTTTAGTCCGAAAATAGGTTTTAACTACTGCCGGGGTAAATTTTGCTTTGAACTTTAAGATAATAAAAAATGATGGTTTACGGCCCTAAGGGCAAAGTGACATGAATGCCCCACGGTGATTTTTTCTTCATTTGCTTTTAACAACTAAATTTACCAAAAATTGCGGCTTATAAAAGTTTTAACTTTTTTTTAGTTAGCACGAGCCGTCAATGAGAATCAGTGAGAAACTCAGACACCTTCTTTTTAATTATATCCTGAAAATTGATTGACTCTCGAAGCCAAAGAAAAAAACGGAAAAAGCTTCTCAAATCTGCATCATTGACTCCAGTTATTCCTTCTGAGTAACCTGATTGTGATATACCATAGATGAACCATCTATGTGTTCTCCGCGGGCAACCAAAAGGAGTCTAATAGAGACTGAGAACGAGCGAGTGTCTCGAAAAGGGATTAGGCGCGAACCGTGCTGAGTCCCTCGAGCGCGAGGTTCGTGTCAGTTCCCTTGCTTCGAGTTGCGCGTGAAATAATTTCAAACAAAGATTAAAATCGTTTGGCTGCGAAAATGCACATCAAGAAAAAGATCGTGTTTTATGCTGGAACCAAGCATGCATAAAGACGAGATTAAGTTAAGCACCTCGCTGGACTTAGAACACGCTCAAGTCATGCGCGTAATATTGACATGCTTTTTAAGCAGTGGTCATATTTGCACCAACTGTTCCTGTAATTCCAAAAATGCAATTGCAGTTTTGAATAATAGGAGTGATGGAGGCCGGTAAAAGGTTGGACTGATCCGTCATAGAGCTTTGAGGATCCAATGAAGATTACAGTCAAATTATAATACTTTTTTACGAGCTGAATCTTAATCCAAAACGTGTATATTTGCGGGAGTTCCCGGTAAAAGCGTGATTATGTATTTTCGTTAATACCCTGCGGCTTCCTACTTTGTTTGCCAAATTTTAAATCTAACACCTTACCTCAAAATTCAACAAACCACCCCCAACATCACAAACAAAAAACAGATCAACATACAGAAATTACAGATCTAGTCTCCCGTGGTTTTTGTTTGGACCCAGTCAGGTGAGCAATCTTCCGATTTACTTTTCCTGTGAGTAGGTAATTTTTATGTACATTCGAATAACAATTCTGTGACTGAGTGATCAGACTGTCCACAAAATAACTAAATTGGCGGCTCCGTTCCCAGCAAGCAGGTCGACTTTAAAGCACATTATTCATGACAAGGAATTATCTTGACGGTAAAAACACTTGTTATGCTTTTTTTCATCTTTGCATATTTAATTAAACATTTGTAGTTTCTCTCTGACTTACCTTTTCAAATTTTTTTTTCAACGGGGGTTCCTTTGAAGCTGAAAGTTAGGGTTAAAACATGTTCCGATTTTTTTATCCTGCGGAAAGAAAAGAAAAAGAATACAGCAATGACACGAGTTTTTGCTCATACTGTTGTTTCAATTTTAAACTATGCATTATGCGGATTCAAAAGTGTGTAAGACTTGTCATTCAAGGGATATTGAATAGGATTTTCAAGAATAAATAAATTAAGGAACGTTGAGAAATTTTTATTGTATTTTTTAAAGTGAGGAGTCCTATACACAAATTTTTTTTCCATTTTAAAGCACGTTTATGAGATTTGTTAGCCTTAGCCATTCCGTGATCGTCATATCAGAGGATATCGTTTTAAGAAGTACTCGAATGTTACATGAAAGAGTATCACGTCTTTAAATGCATACACCAATACACGTACCTATGTTTATTAAATCTGATCTACCTTCAATCGCAGAAAATGAGCTGTAACCTCATTTGCTTTCGTCTTTAGCTCTTGTTGAAAAACTGCACCAAATTTTCAGTTCTCTGAGCTGGCTTTCAGAATTGTACTGATTCATTATTATCGTCTTGCTACCGTCTTAACATGTAACATTCTTCTCAATTTGAGCGATTTTTTTTACGCTGTAGTTAATCGAAAAGATGTTGAGGTTTACTCAGCAAATATTGTTTCGTTTACGTGTTTCCACTCGTTCTTTGGTAACTTAGCAATCTGTTTCAACAGAGACCTAGGCGAGCGTAAACTGTATCCGCGAGAACTTTGATGCTGAAAATTTTCTCGGTATTCAAACAATTACTTTGGCGATACGCAGAATACACTCCAAAACGGAATACCAACTTCCTTCCCTGAGTGGGCTCCCCGTTGGTGCAATATCCTGATGTGAGTATTCAGAAAGCAAACGTTGCTGATAACGTTGATGTTTTTGTTTAGCTCACTATTAGAGCATATTTTACTAAGTAACCCTGCAGCTGCACCGCGCAGACACAATACGTGTGGATAGTTTTTGATTTGCTGTCTTTCTTTGTAAACTGTCTTCAAAAAAGGCTCTGTTTCATGAAAAGCGGTTCTGAAAACAGAAGTTATAGTGCATAGCTTCACCCCATCAAACGCTATGATTGTTGCAAAGTAGAGTCAGTGAATTCATTATCTTTGTATCACAGCAGAGATACTTTAGGTCGGAGAAATAAACATGTAAATTGTTGTTTGTAGTTTTCATCTTTAATATCAAATCATATCGATATAAAAACAAAATAACTTTTCTGGAACTTGTTTTGGATCAAATTTCCAGCTTTTTGTACCAACTGCCACACAAGGGTGATCATCTTTTTCAATTTTCATGTCTTCTCGTAAATATGTATGAGTCGGAGTTCGCATTTGACAATAGAGGTTCACCATTTTGATCTTTTTTCTTTGCAAGATCGAATAAAATGATGATAATGATGATGATATCAATAATGATAATGATACAACCGACAAGATTACTTAAATTAAATTAGGCAAAATTCTCGCTGCATGGACCATTTAAAGGAATCAGTTATAAATTCAGCTTTTTAATCTTGTTATTTATAGATTGTCATTTTTTTTAAAATTCGTTTTGAAAATTTATTTATGATTACAAAGTGCATCTCAGGCTGTAGACATCTCTAAAAGGCGGAACACGGTAAGGAGAAATTCCACACCGATCCCCTGACAGGATGATTTGGTTTGATCAATCGAGTTGATGATGTAAATTGGCCATCGTAAAAAGTTTTTTGATCTGAAGATGACGTTTCGAGTTTTAGCCCAGTTTTGCGCTGCTAATTGAAGCATGAGCAATTTTCATGGCTCCTCCAGGCACTACATAATGCGTAACAATTTACGGAGATGCGGAAATTTGAAATGGCTTTTCCTTTTTTTCTCTGTAATTAATGCAGGGAGAACTACTGCAGATAATATTTCCTACATTGCTTAGTTCG